CTCTCCTCCGTAACGTACCCCCAAGACTACCGTTTCGTGTGGGCTCGACATAAACACATAGAAAACACGTCATCATGGAAGCGCCGGAGCTCGCATCAGCACAGTACTTTGTCTTTGTGTACGCATTTACCGTTTCGTTCTCGCTTCGAAATCTGAGCCTCTCTTTTGCAGGTCGCAAGTACACTTTTGCGGTTCGTGATCTTCTTTCTATCTGTAATTCTCTCCAAATACTTAACCGGGGGAATATATGCAGCTATGTGTACGTATATGCTCGCGATCTCGCTCTTCCGTATCGGTTCCTCACGTAATAATAGATGCCGTCGTCGTCTGGGACTGGATGCACGCCATACCGAGAGAATGGCGATTCGTAAGTTAATTATCCTGTATCGTCAAGTGATCGAGCAGCGTAATCCACATCTCCTTGCACAGATATGGAAGACGAGCTGGACGCCTGTCAAGGTAGCGTATCTGTTCTGCAGGTATGAGGTCTCACGCTCGGCTAGGCTCTTCTGCACTCTCGAACTGACCCATTGCCAGGTACTGGGTCCTCGCCGTGGTGCCATATCTGCTCTGGGCTTTTGTGGCCAACCACTCGTTGGAGACTTGCAAAAGAGTATACAGAGTCAGTAAAAACTTCATATTTATTCGCATATAGCTTGGCAAAAAGCATGGTGTCGCCTCCCAACGCCTATCGTTTCTTATTTGCGGGATAATTAACGTCTTCAACGCAGATCCCAGTCGCGCTCGCAATGTGGAATCAAGCCAGTGCCGAAGCTATTCTCCTCATACGCACTTATGCTTTCTTCAATCGTAACAACTATATATTGGCCTTACTCGTCTCAGCCCTGGGCGGCGTTGTGGCGTACCAGCTCTATGTCGCCACCTCCGAAATGCTGCGTACGTGTTACAACCATATTTAAGCCACACCACATTCTTACAATCGTGTTAAATGCATTAGTCCTTTCGTTCGTATCGTCCCCGGTGAGTGTTTCAGACCGTACGCTCAGGGCATTCGCAAGCAGAGTGGGATTCCACCGAATTACACAAAAGATCGATCTAAGTGTTCCACCCGACGCTCGTTCTCTGACGATCTGTTCGCATCTGGCGTATATCCAGAGCTTCCATCCTTTTGAGGGGGGTTTCCCAGTCCTTGAAAAGCAGTTCTTCTGTGAGGATACGCTAACCCATGGAATATCAATTCCCAGACTATGGGACCCTGTTTCCCCGCCTCCAAACCGGGCTCTGCCGATCTCCTCGGTATGTTTATGTTACGATCATGCTGTCTTCCAGATGCTCACTGCTTCCGATCTCCCAGGTTTCTTTGTGAGCGTCTATAAGAAATTTCTCGCTTGTTGGCATTCAACCTGGTGCATATATGCGACAGATCGCTCCTCTGGCATATGACACGATGGTGACGATCATGACCGTCGCAAAGGCTATTACTATAAGGCGCCGTAGCGGTGGCCCTAACAGCAGGTTGATTCAGACGTTCATCCGCGAGGGCAAGTCGGCCCATTAGTATGATAATATTTTACAACTGATCATCTCGTCCCTCCCAGGTGTCTTCTATTACCTCTTGATCTCCATTGCGAATTTGGTACGCTCCCCCACATATAATTGTGAAATTGGCTGGTGTTGATATAGTCTTCAGGTAAACGGCATATTCTATCTTCAGTGAGCGATGTATCATAATTGTTCGCGTAGCTCTATGCTGAGACACATTCAGGCCCCGTCAAGTGATGTCGGCCATCTGTATACCTCTGAGCGTGATGCTTGCCCCTGTATTAGCGTGCCACCTCATTTTAGATCTTCGCGAGCGTGGCTCCGAAACCGTCTCTCAATCGGCCGGGACTATTGCGTTCACAGCCGGGGTCAACACCTCCAGCAAGTCCAATCTAGGCTCTCCGTTCTCTGGGCTAGGTTTCGGTTTCGGTACGCCATCCAGCTCGAAGGCAATTGTTCGTCCGACGGGTGTAGTGCTAAGCACAATGGGGAGTATACCGATGGAGGGCATGAGCGTGGCGATGGCAAGTGGACTCGAGTTGGACAATTTACAGGCGTACAGCTCTGATGTCTCCGTCGACCAAGATGTGGAGGTCGGTCTCGGGGGTGGAGCGAGTGGTATTAGAGTGGAGGTTGAGAAGACCACGATGTAGGCGCTGGACGATAACGGGTGGTTCCCCAAGTTGAATTCGTTGGGCATATTGCTGCACACTGCATTATTTCTGCATCCGTTTCTGCACACTTGGCGACCCAGCGTCCATCGCAGCTCTCGGAGTTGACATCACTTTTGCATGTTTCACTTCTTCGCAACTCATCCTCTGTCTTTCGAGAACCTAGGCGCTTTGTATTGCATCGCATTGTATCTCATCAGTACTTTGAGTAGTCGTTTTGAACAACGTTAAGCAAGGTTTGGAGGCACCTGATATTGGAAAATATCTCACATGTCGAAAATTCACGTATTACACGTCCGAAGCAAATTTGAAGTTGGACTAAGCGCTGCTCCCTGCGTCTGGGTACGGTCCGAGTGTCCCGTTCAACCATGTCCTTTTTACAAAAAATTATGTAGGATGTATATCCCGCACGCTGTGACTACCGTGAAAGATAGCGGCTAGTTCCAAATAACAGAATCGATGGTTGTGGGCGCAAGTGGGCTCGGGAGCTAGGTAGTAGTCACGTTACCCAGATTGGGGACCCCATCCCTCCATCCAAGTTGGCCCATATATCTGAGTTCTCGATTCTCAAGGCCTGATGGTTCGGTCTAGCCTCTGTCCAATCTTCTTGAAATAAACTCCGTCCTATCCAGTTACCACTCCTAATTTTGAAAGTGGCTGGGAACAAACCAATGGTAACGAAAGCAACCGTTTGTTTCACCTGTATGCCATTCACTAAGGCGCATTTAGATGGTCGAATTGAAAGATGGGGAAATATTCACCGGACATCTGGTCGGCTGCGACAGTTTCATGAACTTAACGATGGGTGGCGAAGTCTTCCAAAGAAGTGCAGATGACGAGCACTTCTGGAAACTCGAAGAGTGCTACATTCGTGGTAGTAGCGTGCGTGGCGCAGGGATAGTAAATTAGTTGCTTGCCGATTGACAAAGCAATGTATTCCCTGGATACAGATTAAGTATATCAAGGTTCCCGATGCGCTGCTAGGCCTGGTCAAAGAGGAACAGGAACGTGCCCGGGAAGTTAGTCGCCATCCGAGGAGTACCATACAGTTGAGCAGCGCGCGGGGAGGTGCGTCGTAATGTCGCGATTTCTTGCTAAGCGTCTCACACCGACCTTTGATAGGTCGCTCTTTGCCTGGCAGAGGTGAGCATACTGTCTACAATGCTAATATGGTTACGCGGTTTACACCATATGATCATACAGGTAGTACCAGAGGCGTAATGCGGAGCAGTCCGTTCCGCACGGGCCGAGGTCGCGGACGGGGAACTTAATTCGCTCTCACGACTCGTCCCCTCTTAATTGGCGCGCACTGTGTAACGCGTTCGTAAACTGTCTACGCTTCTATTCCCTGTCTTTCCCGCGTCATCTGTCCTCGTGTCGCATTTTGAGTTGCTGAGGATAGAGTTATGTAACTGATTTGTGCGGAATAAATATGAATTGACACTTTGCCATAATTTGGAGTGACATCATCGTGCACTTCGGAACTTGAAGATGCAAGATTGCGTGAAGTTCAGGACCAGCACGAGGAGCGATGCGCTGGGCCGAACGCTTGCTTACTAAGCAGGCGGGCGCAGAAGAGACGCGCTCACACGGCAACATGACGCAATTTATCAAGGTGGGAAATTGTGTGCGAATGTCGACTGATTTCTTACACATGTGACAAATATTTGCAACTATGGCATTTCATGCTAAAAATGTTCCACTTTGGCTGTGAATGTGAACTATTTGCGATTTAAATGCTACATTGGCAAACCTTTGCCGCAAATGTAAGACATCAGCCGACATTCCCACACTATTTTCCACATTGATAAATCGCATCATGTCTGCCGTGTCACCCGACGTATGCGCTAACGTCTCTTCCCACCCGCTACGACCTTTGCTACCAGCTCGTCTCGTAGTTTCTTTACCCACCCACCCACTCCTTTTTAGTGTTTAGTGGTGGTGTAGTCGTGCTCCCCCCCCTCGTTAGGCTGCTACGCCGCCACTTCGCGCTCGAGAGTTCGGCTTAGACGCGCTCGGAAGCCCTGGATCACCGGCCAGCGAATCAGGAGCCTGGCCACCAATGCCAGGACATCGGACACTAGCGATCCAGGCCCCGAGCACCTTTCATGCACGGCGGAAAAAGCCGCGTGCTTGCCCGGCCGAACCCTCTCCCACACACCGTCGTAGTATCGTAGTATTCCAGATTGTTCCTACTACTCCTATCTCACCTCGCAAGTGCACGCTGAACTTAGGAAGCTATTGCGCCCGTCACGAATTAATTGTGTAGATGCTGTTTGTAATATGCATGCATGGTCGTATATTCAGACAAGATGTCAACATTAAGTGCCTTAGTTTTCCATCACATATTATATATCGGTATACTACTATGACACGTACTTACTACTAACCTAAGCGCTCTGGCCGAATGCTTTTTACCACGCCAGACCACGCCACCTCCACGTTCAATGCCGAATACGCAGTCCTGTTGGTCCGTGCACCCATCGTGCGGAGGGCATATAAGCAACTTTCCGACCTCACCATTCCCTTACCACTCTGGCCTTATTGGCTTAGATCAAGTGTAGTATCTGTTCTTAATAGTTTAACCACTATTATGGAGGCACCACCTCCATACCTGGTTATCTAATTTTTGCCGCCCCTTCTTCTCCCGCTCTGCTTGCAACTTGGGAAGTGCGATGACCTTGCTACTGCAATGCCGGCTTGTGTCGTTGGGGGATCCTCTTGCTCTTTCTCTTTGGTGCATTGTGGACGCGGGTCATTCGGCTTGTGGTTACATGTGCCAGATGGAAGGAGATGGAGGGATTGAGGGTTGGTTGACGTGTTTTCTTTCTTGAACGGCATTCTGCTTTCTCTATGACTATGGTCTCAACAGTTGATTATATCGCTGCCTGCACGACTATCATCACAGTTATGTGCGCATAATTGCTTGCAATCTTTGCCCCGCCGGCTGTGGCCTATCTAGATGACGTCATGATACTTTCACACGTACGCATCCAGGTTCGGAGCAATCGTTGACTTGCCGTCGGCCATGTCGACAGCCGTGAGGACAGTTCAGCCATACCACGCCATTTCGGTTATAACGCGGCCTCTTCCCAGATAGCCCGCAATTCCAGATACCCACACCGTTCAAGGTATATCCGCGCACGATGGCCACCAGTGTAAGCAGCAAGCAGGGCAAGGTCAAAGCGGCGATTGTTGGTGGTGGCGTCGTCGGTCTTACATGTGCCATCGCGTTGCAACGCCTTGGCGTTCCCGTCGAGCTTTTCGAGGCTGCGGTATGTTATGGGCTTCATTGTAAGAAAAAGGATATCTGAAATGGGATAACATAGGCTCACTTTGGCGAGATTGGAGCCGGCGTAGCCATTGGTGCGTTTGCGAGTGCATACATTGAGCTTGCCACCTAACATGCTTGTGCCAGGTCCCAATGCAGCACGGATTCTCCAATCGCTTGGCATCCTGGATGAGATCTGTGCAAAGACCGGGGAACCTGGCCTTACGATGAGATCGTTCCTATTCGTTTCGGGCCAGGAGGGCCACGAGCTCCTGTATGAGGTGCAAATCGCAGTTTCAGCCTACGAGCAGGTTTGACGAGTAGAGTAAATAGTATCCTGAAGAAGAAGGATCCAACTCTCTGGGTGCTCACCGGTGAGCAGGGCCACCGCGTACTTCCGATTATGGCATGCTGATTCACTTGCGCGGAATAGTGCCTCCCTACTTGATGCCCTTGTGCAATTTCTGGATCCGAATACCGCGCACTTTCACAAGAAATGCATATCGCTTAGTACGTCTGAACGCGACCCCCAAAGGACAACAATCCATTTCGCAGATGGCACCTCGTATGAGGCTGATGTCGTCATTGGCGCCGACGGCATTCACAGCTCTGTACGCGCTGCGATGATCGGAGAAGAGACCAGTCGACCGGTTTTTAGCAATACCGTCTGCTACCGTGGCTTGTTTCCGTATGAGACAGCAAAGGCAGCCGGATTAAAGACAGACTTCACGTCTGGTCGCCCTGTAATTTTCACAGGGAGGGATAAGGTATGTGTTAATGTAGATCATCATGTACTGCTGCTGATGGCCAATAAAGCATCTAGTTGTGTTTGGCGTGAGGAATGCTACACTTGTAAGTTGCTGATATTGTCGTCGTAAGCCTTATGCGGTACTAATTAATCTCCGGAAAGATTAATGTCGTAGCATTCTCCGCGGACCACAACAGACCGATCGGCTCGACGAGCCTTCCTTCGGAAGGTCCTTGGGTAAAGACAGTCTCTCAGGAGGAAATGATGCAGGAATATGCCGGTTGGGGCAGCGATGTGATGATATTGCTAAAATGCATCGAGAAGCCGAGCAAATGGTTCATACATGTCGTCCATCCGCCTCTAGACAGCTACGTAAAGGGAGATGTGGCCCTAGTGGGAGATGCGGTGTGTCCGTTTTTCATGCGGCTATCATCCAACTAAGCTCAAAACTGAAAAGGCGCACGGAATGTTGCCGCATATGGGTGCCGGCGCTGGACAGGGCATAGAAGATGCGTACGTGCTTGCTCAGTTATTGGGGCAACCGCAGACAACCGCGTCAAACATCGAGGTAGTTCTGTTGCTAAACATGTGTCATCATTTTGACATATTTCCGGTTAGACCGTATTGCAAGCATACGACCGCGTCCGACGGCCTCGCGCACAGATGGTCTGGGATGGCAGTGTGCGCGCAGGCGAGATCTACGACGGGTACGGAGAACACGGCCTGTCGGCAGAAGGAGTGACGGAAGATCTCGGCAGGCTGTGGGACCCTGTGTGGTACCACAATCTGGATGACGACTTGCAATCTGCTGTGAAATGGCTTCGAGAGACGTCGGCATTTCGGCAGGATTGACTCAGTCCTGTTGTAGTTGATGTAAGTGTAAAAACGTTTGGATGCCATCATTCGCTCGAGCTGACTGCAACGGACATCCTGCTATGCAAACACGAGAAGTTGAAGCGGAAATATGACTCATTTATGGCTTTGGGTCGTACTTTCACGTCGGGTGATTCCATATTGCCACGGATGATTACCATGGTCGTGAAATAAAGAGTGCTTAAACTGGCAGAATTTTGACATGATGACTCTATCTGATGGCAATGCGGAGTTGCCAGTCAGCGGGATGGTCATCAATAACCCATTGGAATCATTAATAGCGTTGCCGAAGGGCAGCTGACTTATTACAGATTGATTGTTGTGTGCCAGCAGGCGCATCCTTGATCTACTGCCGGCAGGAATTAAGCACAGTTGCGTCAGCACGTTCGCGTCCCATGGGAACGTTTGAGAAGATGACAGCGGACAAAGAGCGGTTGCAGCCGGCCGTGGAGACACATAAGAGGTGGGAATTCGAGATATGTTATATAACCGGGCCTCCAGCTTCGTCTCCAGTATTCGATTTCCTGTGAGTCGAGGATGCAGGCTTCAGCAGAAACCAACCTCTCTCAGCGACTCAAAGTAGCTATCGTCGGCGGTGGAGTATGCGGCTTGACATGCGCAATCGCTTTGGCCAGGGTGGGAATTCGTGCTGAGATTTTCGAAGCAGCAGTAGGTCACGAGTGCCACCGTTCTACTGAATGCGTCGTTTACTCTCTTACAGCCACATTTCGGAGAGATCGGCGCAGGAATTGGTATCGGTATGTCTTCGTGTCATGTGTGTGGCTTGTACCATGGTTAAATGCATGTGTTCTGCCTGCAGGTCCGAATGCAGCACGAGTCTTCGAGTCGATTGGCGTCCTAGACGAGGTTTGCATGAGAACGCAGGAGCCAAGACTTAACATGCGTACATTCCTCTTCATTTCCGGCCAGGAGGGCCATGAGCTGCTATATGAGGTATAGATTTTCGCCGCTGATCTGGACTCGTTCTCATGAATCTCACCAGTATCCTGGAACCGAGAGAGACAGCGGACTGGGCGCATACCGGTGAGTACCATTGATCTTCTATGAAGGGTTTCGTGAGATGAGACTCGAATTTCTGCAGCCCGTCCCTTCTAGATGCCCTCGTCCGCTTTGTCGATCCGAGTGCAACCCACTTCAACAGGAGGTGCACGTCTTACAGTACCTCGGAGAGCAACCCACGGCAGACGACTCTCCACTTCTCCGATGGCATGACGTACGATGCTGATGTGGTGATTGGCGCCGATGGAATCAAGAGCTCGATCCGCGCTTCAATGCTTGGAGAAGCGACCCGCCAGCCGGTGTACAGCAATACGGTTTGCTATCGGGGCCTGATTCCCATCGAGAAGGCCAAGGCAGCTGGCGTGAAGAGCGATTTTTCCTCCGGGCGGCCGGTCTGCTATATGGGGAAGGACAAGGTTTGATCAGATGCTTGCAAAGGATTTCGCTTACCAGATTATCAGCACATCATTGTCCTCGGTATCAAGGGTGGCACAATTGTGAGTTTGCTTTCCAAGCTCGCTGTGATGAACGGGAGCTAAGCATGTTACAGCTCAATATTGTGGCCTTTTCAGCAGACCATGAAGCACCTATAGGCTCCATCAGCCTCCCTGCAGGAGAGTCTTGGGTCAATGAGGTTTCTCAAGATGAGATGCTACAAGTCTATGAAGGTTGGGGAAGCGAAGTCACCAATCTGCTGAAGTGCCTCGAAAGGCCGAGTAAGTGGTCCATCAATTTCGTGCACCCTGCCCTCGATAGCTATGTCAAAGGCCGAGTTGCTTTGATTGGAGATGCGGTACGCACCTCTCTCATTCACTGACGACGTGTTCCAACTCGACATCTCAGGCACATGCTATGCTGCCACACTTGGGTGCGGGCGCTGGACAAGGCCTCGAGGACGCATATCTCCTTGCCCAGTTATTAGGGCATCCCCAAACCAACCCATCAAACATTGAGGTGAATTGTGGTCGCAGGTACAGTGCTAACATCGTTGCTCATATTTCTCTGTCAGATTGTCCTCCAGGCGTACGATCGCTTGCGTAGGCCCCGTGCTCAAATGGTATGGAATGGCAGCATGCGTGCAGGTGAGATTTACGACGGCTGGGGAGAACACGGATTATCCGCAGAAGGGGTAGAGCAGGACATCAAGCGAATGTGGGACCCCGTGTGGCACCACGACATAAATGATGATGTACGAGACGCAGTCGAAGGGCTCAAAGACGCGGGGGTGTTGGCTTAGACGTCAGTGCAGTACTCAGACAACTATGAATGAGTATTGGAGCACATGTCCTATATACTTCCACTGTCGGGACGGGCACTGCAACTGCGTGCTGAATTATTTCAATGCTATCAACAAATCGTTCCGCAACATGGAGATAGTCGTCATATAAGTACACTCAACAGCGGATATAGGTATACCTCAGGCGCCGAAGCCGTAGAGGGTGCGTCCGGACCTCTTCAGCGCGTATACGACATCCAATGCAGTGACGGTCTTACTATAGAATGGATACAAGCTCAGCAATTCAATCACAACGCAGGCAGAGGAAGCACAACACGAACCGCTTCGCGTGCTCAGTGTATGTGACAGAGTCACGGATCACGTTCTCCAGGAAAATCTTGAGAACACCACGGGTCTCCTCATAAATGAGGCCGGAAATACGCTTGACACCACCGCGACGAGCGAGACGGCGGATAGCCTGATAATCAGACGCGATGTAGAGGGTCAACAGACTGCATGCGAGTGGCCGTTCATGGGTGACTGACCGGCTTCGTGATACCTTGAATGTTGTCACGGAGAATCTTGCGGTGGCGCTTGGCACCACCCTTACCGAGTCCCTAGACATGCTCTCGTTCAGACATTGGATCCTGCTGCAGTCAGAGTCGACCAACTTTGCCACCTTTACCACGGCCAGACATGCTTGATGGATATTTATGGCAAATTCTATAGTAAGCCGGCCTCAGTCCTAAGTAGCTCCGAAACACGATAAGATGCGGTACTTACAGTGAGTGGTGGTCGTGGTTCGCTGCCAAGTTGTGGTGGACGCGTCTGTGACCGGCGTGCACACACCGCGTTTGATCTTGTTTGGCATAGTCACGTGAGCCATGATGCAGTGGGCGCTAACGTATGGCGGTCACCAAGCAAAGGAGTGGCATAGGCTGTGTACCCTCAGTAACTACAGGAGACGACCCACTCCCTTCAGATTAGCCATGTCGATTACGCATCTAACGTCGGTTTCGCAATTGAACAATATTCTTTCGGAATCTACGGACAAACTATCTGTGAGCTCCTTAGTGTTCTATCTCACGGTCCATGTCAGAGACGAGTCTGTTCCACGTAGGTCATCGACTTTCATGCGACTTGGTAGGTCATGTCCACGACAATTCACCAATATCTCACACGTCTACTGCAGGTGTGGACCGTGCCACATGATTGCGCCTGTCTTCGAGGCGCTTTCAAAGCAGTATCGGAATGTCAACTTTCTGAAGTGCGATGTAGACGCGGCTAAGGATATTGCAAGAACGTATGGCGTTTCTGCCATGTAAGTATCGTATCTTCCTGACCCCGCCGCGTGTATAGCTAAGCGTCAATGGTGCGATGTCTACACGCAGGCCGACCTTTATATTTCTTCAAGGTAGTACAAAAGTCGATCAAATACGTGGAGCCGACAAAGCGTAGGTGGTTGCAAGATTTGCGGATAGATTTAGTTCTGATGGGCAAAAATAGTGGTCTTGAACAAGCTCTTCGACGCCATTCTTCCGGTTCGTCTGCTGGAGCTTTCTCCGGGAAGGGCCAAACTCTAGGTGGCTCCTCTCCAACGGAATCTTCCACCGACGACTTTGGTATAGCGGCCGCCTTCGACAGGCTAGACCCTCAGCTGAAGGTGCTGTTGTTCCTCCTGGCGGGATATCTTCTCTTCTGGTACTTCAGTTGAATGGTCCATATCTTTTCGCATATCCTGGGTTCTCTAGCTTCCTGCATAGCATACTGCATTATCATTGATTTGAATTAAGTTCGATGAGGATTCGTGCGAGAGAAACTAGCCTATAGTACTTCAGTATGTCTCGGACACGGCGGACCGACTGAATAACGATCACGTGTTGATCGCGTTTTCGTTGTACTTGAAGGTGGCGTGTTGCCACAGCGCTCCTCCCTCAACCGCCACCTCACCCTCTCGATGCATGATAGCGGCTCTTCCTGAGGACTGAACTTCTGTCTGTACCAGACCTGACGAAAATCACGCTGCTTGTTGATCAGTCGGACCTTATTGGGTACACTGCTCCCGTCAAAAGTCCATGCGACACGATAGCTGAAACGCACTCATGTCGACCACGTCGAACGCTGCTGGGGCCCCGCCCACCCCAAATCCTCGAGTTCCGGAATCCTTCATGGATATTCCCTCTCAACGATTGTATGCGCTTAGTATGGGTGCTCTTTTGCAGGTACGCCTCCCGGTGATATGGTTGCGAGCCTGCAGGGCAATCGAGTAGCACGACATTCGACAGTTTTCGAGGCGAAACTCCTCTACTCTCTCGATGTTTTTTTTGTCGTTTATCAGCACGTTGTGGTATCATAAGACTGATCTGGAACCTGACAGGCAATCAAAGTCTTCGATTTTTTTCAATATATATTTAACATTAACGACAATCAAGGTTCCTACGGTAGGAAGTGGATGCTTGTTGATTTCATGTTCTGCACAGTTCTCGCATACCTTCGCATACCACGGCTCAGATACAGCCTATCCGTGGTCGCGCTCCAAATCCTTTGTCTATGGCTACTTGATGGGTTTCTCTTTGGGGCGATCACGATAAATATCGGAAGTGGAGGGCGGCCTTGGATGAGTGTACCAGCTATGGGCTTCCTGAGTGAGTTTGGCGTGGATCTTTGCTCGGCCATAGTTCATTGACCATATGCATCCTCAGATCGCGGACAAATCACATTTACCCCTCCTCCATCTGTGCTATGGGACTTGCTGCCAACCTTTGGCCTGGGCGTGTTGATTAGTTCTGCGGGAAAGGATCAGCATTTGCTCGGACAGCATACAGTCCGCATGTCTCCGATTAGTACCGCGCGCCTCAACCCATACGGAGGTACCTTCTGTCTTGCCGCACCGGGGCAAAGCGTGCTAGTTCCTATCCTCCTCAACAACACCTCCCCCACGACCGTGCAGTACTCGTTAACGCCTCTGGGTTACGCGGCGGAAGAACGGAGCAAGTCCAGTGTCGGCAAGATTGAGACTTTCGAGCTCAATGCCAAAGACTTGAGGACCATCGAAAACGCTCGACTTGATTCTCTCCATGTAGCCCGCACAGCGGTGTCGAGAGACGACTCGGACGATTACGACGAGTACGATGATGAGGATGATGATGAGGAAGTTGCCGGTTCTCGAAAATCTTCACTGCAGAAGACGCAGACCTTGGCATACCTCCGAATCAACAAGCCTGGCAGACTACGCCTTGGGCGAGTCTTGGATCAATCCAACGTTGATGCTCGGTTGGTCTACCCGAACGAGGTCACGATTGTCCCGTGCCCCCGCGCGGAATTTGCACTCAGCAGCGTCAGCCGGGAGGAAGACATTCGCTGCGCAGTCCCCGGAATGAGAACTGGTGTCGGCGAGGAGCTCAGCCTGGAGATCGACATCTATGGCGTACCTCCACTCAGCTTGCGCTGGCACAAGGAAATAGGTGGAAGAAGGGAGTCATTCATGGTAGAGGGAATTGAAAGTTCAGGACATGCACATGAGCACTTGGTCGACGATGGACGAGCCTCGTCCAGTACGATGGGTAGTAGGGCTCCTGTTGCGCTCAAGATCCCCCTCATAGTATCCCTGGATACTCTTGGCATGCATTCCTATGTCCTGGAATCTATAACGGATGCGATTGGCAACGTCGTTCCGGCTGGTGCTGCTCCGAACGGAACGTCATCTACGAACGCTCTTCGAAGAATCGGATCCACTATCGAAACGGAGCATCAACCACACGGTTTTGTCGATCCCAGGACTCATCGTATAGTAAGGGTCGTTCGACGCCCCAGCGTATATTTCCAAGGCTGTGGCCCTGGAACTCCAACATCTTTGCTTATTGGTTCCGAAGCGCAATTGAGGATTGTAACCAAAGATGCGGATCTACTAGATTCTCCCTGGGACATTGGGCTCGAATACCGTCCACCCACGCCAGATGAAGATACGAGAGGGAAGCGATACAAAGGCTGGATGAAGCGCTTCCAGACCACGGAGAATAAAAAGGAGCTGACTGTGACTGCTGCTGCTCCAGGAGACTATAGGATCCTCAGTGTTCAGGGAAGGTATTGTGAGGGTGATATTCTAAGTCCGGATACCTGCAAGGTCATCGAGCGGCCCCTCCCGACTGCCGAAATTGAGTGGAAGAAGATACACGAATGGCGAGTATTCGACGCACTGCTTTGAGTCGACAGCGGGTTAACATCTCATTTACTGCAGTTCTGGCGACACTGGTGTCTTAGCATCTCTCGTGATGCACGGAACACCACCTTTCGTAGTTTACTATAGCATGCAACGCGACAAAGAACAACCTCACGAGTTCACTAAAACTTTTATGAACTCTCGAGGCGAGTTCACTATCCAGCCCGAGCGTAGCGGACATTACGTGTTCAAGTTCACCCGATTGAGCGACTCCAACTATCAGCAGGTTCCACTCAAAGGCCCAAGCATTGATCAGGTTGTGCATCCTCCAGCATCTGCTGAGTTCGCAGACAGCGTTCCTGGCGGAAGGGGAAAGCGAAGGATCAACAGTTGCTCTGGTAGCACAGTGGATGTGGATGTCGATCTTCGAGTACGTCTTAACAACAAATCAGAAGGAACGTTGCCGATAATCTGTCCTTCATTTGCAGGGAACAGGTCCTTGGAACTTGGAAATCCAGGTGGTGGGACCCAAAGGTTCCGAGATTGTTCGGGTGCCAGGCATCACGACAGCAAGGAAGACGATTACGGTTCCCATACCCAAAGTGGTCGACCGAAACGGAGGAACGTTTGAAATTGACCTAGGTAATGCATACATATTGTTCCTTGCCAATCCAACCTCTGATTGAGAACGCATGCGATCTATAGCAAGCATTGAAGATGCATATGGGTGCAAGCGTCCTCTTTCTGGTTCCGGTATTGTCGTCAATGTCCGAAGAGTGCAGGTGGGTCATGGTAGCTGGACTGTGGTGTTGCGCTAAGACTCAGCTACGCCTCTTTACAGCCGACAGCTCGCTTCTATGGCAAACTGACTGATCGCCATGTCACCATCCTCGATGACGAACAAGCCGCTCTACCTCTTCGATTGACCGGTGACGGGGTGCGTCTTCTCACCATTCATGACGTTTTTTTAAATAGATCTTCATGCATTCCCAGCCATGGCGTCTCAGATATAGACGTATCGAGGACCTTGAAAAGGTGTACACGGCATGGCTTTCGACTCCTAATGATGAGCTTCGGGTTAGGGACAAGGGTATCTATGAGATCTTGGAGGTATGTGCACCATTACGGCTGCTGGTGCTGTTCAGATCCTGATTCTTCGACTCAGATTTCAGACTCGCAATGCCCGGGATCAGTTATAACTGAAGAGGCTACTTACAGGGTAGATCATGTCCCGCGGCCTTCGGCTAGGTTGTCTCCCGAGATTCAATCCATATACCAACCTCATAACGGGTCGCATATATTACCACCGATATGTGAGGGCATCAGCGATCATGTCGACTTGGACCTCACAGGCATGTCAACTACTTGCATCCTTATTGAAATTAAGTAACATCCTCTTTTCTCAGGCCGACCGCCTTTCCAGATCATGTACAACATAGCGAAAGATGTTGGCGCTCGGCAAACGAGCATCATCGACCAACCTACAGTCAGCAGCATCCAGCCGCGGACCAGCTTTCAACTCCACACGAGCGAGGCCGCTAGGATTTATTATGAGGTCAAACAAATTGGAGACGCCGCATATCCTCTTTCCAAGAACAAAGACGCCGTCATTCCTCGTTCCGAGCGTCTGCTCTTTGAGCAAGAGGTGTTGAGGAGGCCTTCCGCGCGGTGGAAGAATCAACAACGTCTATCCTACTGTTTCAATGACACTCTCCTACCTCGTGACAACATCGGCCCCGATGGCCTGATCGTGCTAGAGGGCACTGCTCCGTTCAATATTCAGCTATCGATACGCAATCTAGCCACCAGCGAAACCCATGTAGAGACGGTTGAAGCACGCGACATGATATGGAAGCTCAATATGCCATCATACACCTTCAAATCGACTGGGCCTCACCTCATCATCATCGAATCTGTGCAGGATGCGTCGCATTGCGAGCAGGCAACACCAGACCCCCAGTATAGGTCGATATGGATAGATGTTGCGGAAACTGCCGCAATTGTGCCGTTTGACAGTAGGGTAGACTTTTGCGTTGGGGATCCCATCCAATTCCAGTTGGAGGGCACCCCACCATGGACGATCGGGTATGCATGGCGTCTCCGCGGTTGTGCAAACTTTGACTGACCGTTACTTACAGGTATAGCATCAATGGAAAATCGTACACTCAAGAAGCCAGGAAGTCACCATTCTCCATCGGGCAGCAGCAACCTGGTGAATTCATCATCACCTCCATTGCGCATCAGCAGAAGATGTGCAAGGCGGCGGTGACCGACTTGCGATACACCGTGCATGATCTGCCGGCCGCTCGTGTCGGACAAGGGAAGAGAATCGTCCAGGATATTCACGAGGGTTAGTATGGCGCAAACGGTGTTTCAATTTCTGTTCTGATGAAGAGCATTCGCAGGGGACCAAGCAGAAATCATTTTCACGTTGATCGGAGAACCTCCATTTACGTTCACGTATCAGCGAGCCGAACTGAACCCAAGAAAAGGCTCACAGCCAAAGGTGCTCGAGACGCATACAGTCTCAGGAGTCACGACTCAGGAGTACTCGATATTCTCTGCATTGGAAGGTAAGTGGTACAGCGTCGAATTGGTAAGATGATATGCTAAGTCTGTCTTTCATCTAGGTACATGGACTGTTACGTTCATCGCCGATCGCTACTGCAGATATCCACCGGTACCGCCGGATGGGCTCGAAAAGTTGCGATGAGATTGGTATATTTACATTGGTGGATATAAGCTTGGAACCCACATCTTTCCTCTCATTTTTGTCGTCTCCAGTGCCATAAACGATCGTCACAAGTGTAGTTCTAATTTATGATGTCGTCATTCCCGAGGATGATTGGAACTTGGTAGCTTAGTTCTCAGTATTGTTGCACCCTCGACAGGACAAGCTGGCCTCTCACCCGCCCACTCGTCGTGCATGACGTCTCAGAAACGAGCCCGCGGAGCATCAGTGGCAGACTGGTAACCAAAAATGCATTACAATTTCTTCCTGTTTTGACTTTACATGCGCAGCTACGAAACCACTTATACCTGAGCAGAAGAGATGTAGAACCACTTCGAGACTGGAATAACAGATCGCATCATTAGAGGATGCTTTCCATGGTGCAAAAGACTCACTAGCAGGTTCGATGGGTGCAGGCGGCTTCCTGGAGTCCGGAGGAATGGCAGCGTATGCAGGGTCGTTTTTGCTGACATAGCCAGGAGAGCCAGTGACGGTGACGTTACGACTAGCGGAGTAGGCATCGATGAGAACATGAAGGCTTGCGCATGATGAACGGAAGCATACATGGAGAGGTCGTACGAGGGCGTCTTCGCCGGGCTCTCTCCGCTGACGAGACGACGCCAGGCCTCATGGCACTCATGAATGATCTCCGTCGCATACTTCTTGTTCTTGGCCTCACCGGAGAAGGCGAATTGGTTCTCCGGCTTGCCATCGGGGATCTTGTAGATCCTATGTGAAGCAGCGAGATATGAGCCTCCGTCGGAGATACGGTCGCAGAAAGAAGCCAATGCGCACCTGAACCACTCATTAGTCGCACGCACAAGACCGGGCAGATGTCTCTCGACGTCTTCGATATCGTTCAGCTTCGAAGCAAGGGGATCCTGGACGTCGACGACGAGAACCTTCCAGTCTGTCTCACCCTCATCCAGGAGGGCCATGATGCCAAGAACCTTGACTTGCTTGATCTGGCCGACATAGCCGACCTGCTCGCCGATCTCGCAGACGTCGAGCGGGTCATTGTCACCGTTCGCCTTCGTTTCAGCGTGTGTCTGGGTGGGATCCTCCCAGGTCTAGGAGCACATGCATACGGTACAGTCAATCAAACGCGCGGACGAGTTTGTGACGTAGCACACGCACCTGGGGGAAAGCACCATAGTTCCAGATGTAACCGTGGTGGGGGAAGCAGTTGCGCACGTAGCGCAAACGGTTCTTCTTCACGTCCTGCTTGATGGGGTTGAACGACTCCTCCTTGGAGATCTCCATCTTCGCATTGGTCCAACGAGGGATCTCGACGACCATGTTCAGGATGCCATTGTTCTGGTCCGCGAAGAGCGGGATGTCATGCCAGGAAGAGATGGGATTGCCATCGCGCTCGAGGAAGACGCGGTGCTCTGGTGGGCCACCATGTCAGACGGCTGCTTGGTCGTCCATACTGCGCGGAGGCACTCACCGAGGGTGTTCGGCGCGCCAATGAGGCGGGTAGAGTACTCTAGATGGCGTTCGATGAGCTAGAGCGGCCTGAACGGTTCGCTGGTGCACGCACGGGACGACATTGCGTTGACGGTTGCAGAGAAGAGACGAGCGTGCTGGGAGAGACGACGAAGGGCAACAGCAGCGGACATGTACAGGTGTCGAGTTTTATGGCAAGTCGATCGATGCGAGTCGCACGGTACCCATCGCTTGCGCAATCTATTCGCCTATGCCTTCCGGTTCGAATCGCGGCTCATCCGACAAAACCGATCAGCGACGGTGAACTACACGACGATCTACAAAAGCAACGAAACAGCGAGGCCCGAAATTCAGGGTCGTAACTATGTCAGGCCGCCCTCCTTTAAAATATCCCCTTCTTCATCCCTGCCCGCATCACCAGTTGGCTTCGAGAACCCGCCGTTGAAATCGAGGCGTAACAACAGCCGCTCCACATGCCTGCGCACCTCCTCGTCCCCCGCCAGGTGCTTACCCCGCTTCGGGCGAATGAACGTCTGGAACCCGGACGCGTTCGCCATGCTGACACTGTACATCATCGACTTTGACGCGTCAGTGGCTGTTGAGAACGGCTGTTGCGTCGTCGATAGCGATAGCTGCTCGTAGAATGACTCCAACAGCATATGTAAAGTCTGTTGATGCGATCGTTAAGCGACAAACGTGCCTTCAAAACATGCGGTTCGGGAAGCGCACCTCGCTCATTTCGGTGACCACAGCCTGTCGCTCCTTCACCATCTTCCCTACTCTATCATCACCGCCCATGGAGAGGCTGCCTTCGAATAGAAGTGCAGGTAGGACGTCGCCTCCCCATCGCTCCACCTGGGCCACAAAGCGCTCACACATTTCCAGAATCGTGCGTATGATGGCCGTCAAAACAGGATTTGATAACAGGCTGCCCGTAAGCAAGCGCTCCAGATACGTCGTATGAATGCTCCGCAGGGTAGTGAAATCAAGCTGTGAGTTCGCCGTAGACGAGTTTGACACGGTGCTATGTGACGTCGGCAGCGAAGACGAGGAATGCGAAACCCCAACGTGCTGGTCGCCTACTTCGGTATTTGCATCTGCAGCTAGAGCTAGCTGCGGCTGCGAATCGGTATGCTGCCTAGCCAAGGTAGACGTCTTCTCGAGCAGCGTGTCCTTCAATTTCCTGAATTCTACGTCGATAACATCAGTCATCACATACCCCAAAAGCGTGTCCAAGAACCAGCTCATTTCCCTAACAACGCCCCAACCACACCGTAAAAGTTCCTTTCGGGCGTCGAGGTCTTCGGCTGTCCCGCCTTCTCCCAGACCCGTCCACCGCCGCCGGGCACGTTGAGCATTAGAGAGAGACGTCCAGCAGGTGTGAATGCGTGTGTGTGTCTTCCGCAATGCAGAGAGGTAGGCGAAGAGTGCCGCGTAGATTTGTAAATGGGAAGCATGAAGGAAGAGATCAAGTGGCCATGAGATACTGTATGTCAAAACCAATGGGGTTCCCAGGAGCAGGTCGTCGAATGATGTCGGCTCTGCGGGGTTCAAGGAGGCGGAGATGTCTCTTGCCGGACCGGAAGCGAGCGACGGAAGCAGGGGCCGCAAAGGCCCCGAAGGTAAGCGAAAGCGGAGGTGAGATAGTGAGGGGTCGTGTTGGGCAGTTGTTCCAAGGGATGCTCTAAGAAGGGCTAAGTGAAGGTCTTGTTCTCGTATCATCGTACTAGGGCCTGACCGGCCGGTCAAACGCGAAACCTTGAGACGCTCAATCTCCCTGATGAGGGATAGTGCGAATTCCCCGTTTCTGAGCAAGAAGTAATTCGCTCTATATGGAGGGGCCAGTCGGGTTGATGGACAGTATTCATACAACTGGACGACTCACAACGATTCCACGGCGACATCGACATCTTTGAGCGTCAAGACGTTGTGCCACAGCCATTCACTGACGGCGGTCCTGATGTCGGCGATGACTCGGTCGAAGGCGTACTGATCCTGTGGCAGCACACTTTCAAGCAGCGTGGTATGTTCCATGGCTAGGTCTCTTGGAAATTGCCTCTCCCATTTCGCTGCTTTCACAATGCTGATCGCTCGCCCGACGTATGATATGGAATCCTTCGATTGAGCAGACAAGCAAGACGGCACAGCGGAGTCCAGAAGTGTATAGTCCTTTGAAGCTAGAGGGTGTGTGTCCGACAGTGTTCCATGGACCACGAGTGCCTGTAGCTGACTGATCCAGACGCGTTGCACAGCTTCGGAGAGACGAGCATGGATAGAGGCCACTCGGTATATTCCTGTGTGCGACCGTGTAAGGAGCAGATCGATAAGCGGTCCTGCCTCCCAATGTGCCTTCGCTTGCAATTCATCAACGAGATACTCCAACGCGGCGAGAGGCGCGTCCCACTCTGCAAAAGTCGCGCGAATAGATGATAGAGGAACAAACGAGCCGCTCGCGACGAGGCTACTATCGCGCTTGAGTATCTTGGCCTCTGTTTCAACTACGAGGGCCTCGTATTCATCCTTGAGGATCTGATTCAGTGTCGCACAGAGCGCGGAGACGTAGCGCGAATTTGATCGAGAGAGCGTTACGCATGCCTTCTTGATCTTGCGGTACCTGACCGCAATCTGTCCGAGTGCCTCAAGGCATTGTTGCTCTCCGGGATGTAGAAGAGGTGTAAAGGCGGAATTGACGGTGTGATCGGTTGGAAAGATAGAAGACGAGTGGCCGGCTAGGACGAGAAGGACTTCTGCGATCATGGGATGACTTGTACCGTTAGTTGCATTGCTGTGTGTAGCAGCGCGATTGCTCACCACAGCTGGTGGTTTCAACTTGCAAGGTCACACGTCGACTTATGCGCAAGAGTCGAAGATGCGACCTGGCGACGCGTCGAACGCGCGCTCTCGTGCCTGTGGCCCTACACGTGATCTTTTAGTCGGGCGCGTATCGAGTCGCGCCCGCAGGCGACCGGCCGCGATGGCAGCCATCCTGACCAACATCATGCACGACCAACACCTCGACGGCGGTACGGACGACCCTCAGTCAGAAAATTATGCGTCGCCGGTGACGTCCCCGTTCGACGACGCGTTCTCAGATGGCGATGACGACACCGAACCGCTCGAATTCTCGCCGGCAGCTATCCGCGAAGAGCTGGCGAGGACCTACAACAGTGAGGGTGGCCAAACAGCGCACGTTGTCCAAGAAGACACGGACGAACTTGCAGCTAGGATTGGGCTCTCAATGGACCTCAAAGCGTCGCCGTCGACGTCCGAAGTGGGCTCGCCTCTACCCACTTCTGAGGCTGTACCTGCACCTCAAATGTCTCAATCCCCTCCAGCAATACCTCGTTCCCGCTCCTCTACTTCTGGCCAGTTATCCTCTCTTCCATCTCATGAAGGCTCATTCTACGACGTCGAGCTCTCCAGGAACGCCTCACAGCTGGATCTGTCTGAAGAACCACTTTCCCCTTCTCCAGAGCCTGCTGACGACAACGTTATCGAGGTACCCTCTACCAAGTCAGAAAGTCCAGAGCCCAGCCCTGCATTAACAGAGGTCAGATCTGCACCATATCCGCCGATGGGGTCCTTTGAGGAAATACCACAACGCTCCGTCTCTCATGACGAACCTCGTCCCCGAGCTCGTTCTCTTCAATTACCGGAAGCTGAGGCATCCTCCAGCCCTGCGCTTACACCCGCTACTGATTCACCATCCTCGACGGTTTATCCACCCCCTTCCCCTCGTAGCAGTAATAGCTTCGACTCCAAGTTTCAGAGCCAACATCGCACTGCTCGTTCCATGGGCCCCAGTATCCTGGACAAGGTCATCAGCAAGACCCGTCCTAACTTTCTGCCTCCGAAGCCCCGTGTAGAAGATAGAAAGCATATGGCTGACTGGGAGGCAATGATGAAGCAGAGTAGAGAAGCCGGTGAGTCGCCGAAATCCGCACAATTCCATGCCGTAAATGAATGTTCACAAACTCAGCCTGTTTGTCCTATTCATCTTTCTGCTCGTGAACAGAGGAGAAAAGACGGAAGGCATTGCAGGAAAGGCGATTTGCACGCGAGAGGAGGATCGAGAAGTCAATTGAGCAGTGGCAGCGTGAAATACTGCCCGACTGGACCATCGTGAACCGCGATCCTGCTCTAAGAAAACTCTGGTGGCAAGGCATTCCTACGAAGCTTAGAGCCTCGATGTGGCAGAACGCCGTTGGCAACGCACTTGTACTCGGCAAAGGTAACGGCTTCAATTTCACAATAGTTAGTATGCCAATATATAAACTATTCGAATTGTAGATGCGTACAGGACGTGCCTGTCACGAGCCAAAAGGGCCCTGTCGCATGCCACGTTCCCGACGACTGTCTTGGGCCTGATAGAGGAAGACATCGAGACCACGTTACCCAACCTGCACCTGTTCCGTCCGGAGACCGGCCCGCTCTACCAGGATCTAAAGGATATGTTATGCGCTTGGGTGGTGGCGCGCTCCGACGAGGCTCTCGGATACGTGCCAGGGGTCGCGAAGGTTGCCGCTATGCTGCTTCTCAACATGGACCCTCCGCAGGGCTTCATTGTCATGCGAAATCTGTTGGAGCGGCATTGTCTGCGGTCGTTCTATGGCGGGATGTCATCGAAGGACGATGTGAGTATTTATAAGATCGACTTTGGTACATGAAATGACGTGACAATACATAGGTAGAAGCGTATTACAGGTAATTCAACCGGAATTTGCTGATGGAAGTGTCTCACCGCTATTTCAGAATATTTGACACGCTATTAGCAGACGGCATGCCGAAGAGTGAGCGTAACTTTCTGGCATCCGCTAATTCACATACTCACCGAGAGCTCTTCCCTTAGTCTACTTTAATTTCAAGCAACATCAAATCTCCCCTGCAGCTTACCTGCCCGACTGGCTAATCCCGCTCTTCCTTGATCACCTTCCGTTTGAAGCGTGTGCGAGGCTGTGGGATGTCATCCTGCTGGAAGGTGACTCCTTCCTGTATCGTGCAGCGCTTGCAATTCTAGCGGTACTAGAGCCACGCCTCTTCTTCCCTGACCGGCAAGAACTGCTGGAGCTGCTAAGGTGCGACCATTTGGCTTCCTGGCAGTTGGTCATCTTACGTAGTGCATGCAGAGGGGAGAATAAGGCAGCAATTCAGGTGGCGGAGCGGAACGGAAGGCCGTTGAATGGCGCCAAGTATGAAATCTATGATGTCGATGAAGAAGCGTTGTGGGAGCGCATCGATAGCATGGATGAGTGGTGGCGCGAGAGCACATGGACGAGACTCATACAGCGAGAATTACCTTCTGATTCCCTACAGATTCAACCGAAGAAGCGATTGTTATAATCATAATGCATCGGTCAGTTATCTTGTAATCTATTCGCTCTCCTTGTGCTTTGGATCATCCTTCTGTTAACACTTAAACGTGCTATGTCAAAGATCGATGTGCGAGCTTGATGTATGTTTGGAGTCCTCCGGCTGCGTTTTCTGGTGAAGCGCTAATTACCGTTCGAGCAGGTTCTATGATCTCGTTTCTCCCGATGCGCGCCGTACCCACAGGCGATGTACGCGGGCATCTCGCGTCTGAGAACATGCCGGACGAGGTCTCGCGCGAGCTGGAAGAGTTCCAGATGAGCGCTTAGATCACGTGATGATGGCTGGAGCCGCCTTTGCCGCACGTCGCACCACCCCGAACTGTGCGTCGCATACTGTACGCCTATGCGATCAATATCATCATATGGCGTCGGGAGCGCCGAACTCTACATATTTCGCTGGTCTGCCGGCATGGCCAGAATGAGCCAGGTGGGTCTCTCTGTTCCGTAATTTCTCGAGCGCCCGTTGTCTGTAGGTGGCCTCTCCGGTGAGCGACGGTATAAAAGCAGAATTATTATCTGGATCCTCTTGCTCAGAGTCCATACATCCTCAGTTGCAGTTGCATCCACATTCTCGTGCGAGCTGCCCTCCACCCATCCTCACACTTCACCATGTTCAGCGCGGTTGCTGCTCGATACCCACTCGTCGCTTCGCGTGCTCCGGTGAGCTTGCTCGACATACTTCTTATCCTCGTTTCGTGCTGACATTCTTGATCCCTCTAGTCATTGATCATCTTTGTCGGCGCCCAGACCGCGTTATGGACATGGGTCGCATCTCGAACCAACGTAGAAAGGTATGGCAGCTCCCTTGGTCATATCGCATCCCTTCAATAATTGACTCATCCTCTGCAGTGTTGTCAAAAATGCCCCTCCATCACATATACCCAAGGGTTACATTGGCAAAGCCCGCTTTCAAAGCCCCCAGCTTGCCCACGCATCATAGGCAGCCTGACCATCAGATGTTGACAGGATTCCTGCCAATGCGGCCCGACGACTGGATATTCTTTGTATTATATTGTAACAGCGAGCTGGGCCCAGCATAGATACGCACGCCGAGGAGGTTAGGCACGAGACTAGTAGTTGCGCGCATCCATGACAATAATATACAGAAATTGCAAAAAACTCAAAGTGGTGTGATCGCGATAAGAGTATCGGTTCGATGAATCGTCTAGCTACCGTCGACTTCTGTACCGCTGGTGCTATCATCTTCCTCCATGTTACTTTTCCAGAGCGCGTACATCTTACGCCTATTCGCGTCTCGCGTATCCTGCTCGCTCGCGACATCGAACATACGCCGCAACAACGCCTTCCGAAGGTTTGCTCGGTCTATAGCACCTTCTGACGCGGGATCGGATAAGCATGCGTTAGCAACAAGGTTTGAATATGTTGGCATGGTCAGACGCGGCCGCTTGCGACTGGGAGGCTCGTCGTCCGCTTGCAGTGGTTTTAGTGCAGCGAATAGCGGATCGAGGAGGGAGGATTCTATGCGGTGGTATGTGACATTTGTTGATGCACGGGCAGAGAGGGTGAAGAAGGGCGAGAGAAGCGTAGACAGCGGTGCAGGTAGGGAAGATGATTCTGGTGGATTATCGTATGCCTTGTCGAGCTCCTCGAGGTAGATGTCTGCGAGGTGGTATGATAGGCTTGAAGGCACGCGGATATCATCCGAGCTAATAAGAAAGTGTGATCAGCATCTGGATGAAGCATCACGGAAGCGACTAACCATAGTGGCCCGCCGCGGACGGTCAAGATGGAATTGTACTCGTCGCAAGCCGCACCGTCCCATCCGGTCCGCATCAGTAACCTGAACGATGCGTTGACAAATCTTCGGATGAGCATGTAATACTTGTCGATACTGAAGGAGGATCAGCGACAGCGGTGCTCTGTGTAGGGCAAACTGACCGTAGACGATCTATCGATGTCCATTCGCGGACAGTAGCTTCCCAGAATCCGCGAAGGAAGGCCAGGGCAACGGACGGGGTCGAAACCGAGAGCAGAATGCCAGCCAACTCGCTCGCTAGCGCTTGCTGCACTAAAGGCTTGTCAGACATCCAGAAACCTGGTCAAACATATGGATATCAGCATACGAAGGTCACTATATGCGCTGTTGCCATACAGTAGAAGATCCCTTTCCATAGTCTGGCCATTTCTGATTTTGATAGTGTGTCCCGCGACGAATCAGAAAGGAAGAGGCTCAAGTTCTTGATGGCCTTGTCTCTTGTTTTCTTGTCTTGGAATACGTTAGTCGCGTGACGAAGTAAATCGCCTCGTCTCATTTCATACCTGTAGACGCGAGATACCTCCCTAATGGTGGAGCATTGGAAGAAGAAGATGATTCAGTCATGGCGTTATTGTGTAGCGAGGGCGTATAGAGGCGATCGGTGCTGAGCACAGACTTTTTCCGATTGGCGCCCACCTGATCGCAGATCACTTGCATTTTGATGCGCCTCGGTTGGCGACGTCCATTAACATTGTATGCGAACTAACTAATAATGTTGCCTCAAGGGCTAATTGAGTGCGAGCGAAGGTTTATTGATACATCACTTCCAACATAAAACCTTTGAACTAACTTGGTGGGCATTATATCGGGCTCCGCTGAAACCTCTCGGCAAGAAGAATCAAAGAGATGTCCTTCTCAAGGTATATAAGAACCGCAACCTGTGGAATTCTGTTTGTCTACCTACCGCCGCATCTGACATATCAAAACTGCAAACCGTGAAGCACCATAGAACTGCATCCGCTTTTGCAGCGTTCCCATTCAGTCAGGTTCCGAGAAGCGGATCTCCGATAGTACGATTTCCGCGTTCGTCTGTATCGCGACGTCATCGATATCTTCGACGCCGAGTGAAGTACATATATACACACAGGAAGTTCGACCACAACCGTCACATTGGCTCGATACATTTACATTGCAACACGTTGAACGTCCGTCTACGCCCATCATGTCGAAGTCTCCTATAACCTGTCATGGTAAGCTCGAATAAATCGCACGTCAGCCCTTAGACAAATGATATGTTCTAGTCCTCGATTCATCGCTTGGTAAGCCAGCGAAGGGTGTCCAAGTGCAGGTTCAAGAGTACCACGAAGTCGCCAAAGACACCGCAGTGTTCAGTCCGTTGGCGGAGAGGTGCGCACCTGTCATTTGCGACTCTGAGAGGAGATATTTAATCCGTCGCGTGAGCAGTAAGACTAATGAAGACGGAAGATGCATGGACCTCTGTCCGAAAACGAAGAGCGAGGAGGCGACGGTAGAGGGCGCGAAGCTGAAGGCGGGCAAGTTGTACAAGGTGGTCTTCAAGACAAAGGAGTACTTTGAGAGCACCGGGCGCAAATGTTTCTACCCTTGGGTAGAGGTACGGTGCTGCAGTTGGTACACGGGGGACGCAAATCACTGATGATCGCTCATTGTTCGTTATGCAGATCACCTTCGAGGTGGAGAATCCTAGCGAGCATTATCATATTCCGCTGCTGATTAGCCCATACTCGTATACAACTTATAGAGGAAGCTAAACATGCAAAGCTTCCTTCATGAGCAGGCCACTACGTCGCTACAAATACATGTAATATACAGTTCAGGCAACAGACAATAATGCGAAATGCACACTGACAATGAAGCAATTTAGTACGGAAGTGCGAATGCGACACGAACGATACATGCAATAAACAGAAGGATCAAGATCAGAATGATGCACGAACAGATGATCCGACGAGACCACAAAAGACAAATGAAATTTGTAAGGCCAGATGGCCAAGATTACTCCAACTTCATCCCATTGACCGCCTCACCTGCGCCGTTCACCTCTCGATCGCTGTCTGCTTGCCGCCGCGGACGAGACAGGATTGGTCTCAGTACGGGGCTGGCCAGTCCTACCTGTGGACGCAAGGTCGGGCTCGACAGGTTATTTGCTGAGCGGGTGAAATAGGAAGACCCAGAGGATACAATAGGAGAAGACATTGCTGAACCCGGGCCTCCCGCTGGTACTGCAACTGGAGACGGCATAGTAAGCCTTGGCATCCCATGCCCGTTCCGTGCGCTATAGAACGACACAGACGGCGAGACTGCTCGCCGTTTAGCAGCTGTAGGATAAGGGTCGTAGCGATCTTCCACTGCAATATCATGAGCGAGGAGACGCATATCACCAACGTTGTGACGCACGTTTCCGCTTGTTATGCCGAACAGCACAAGATGTTGGTGGCGGAGTATACCGCCATGAGGACACGCGTGGCGACCCGCTGATTGACATTGGCTATGAAAACGAAGAAGGGTCAACACAGAGTAGACCAGGAACGACAGCGCCACATACAACGTCTACATCCATAGCCATACCACCGGGGCTGTCCAACATGCCCATATCGTCACCATTAACGCTTTGAGCCGGAGTGGACGGCTTCACAATGTTAATAGGTTCCACGGACGCGTAGGGCAACTCATCGAATTCGCCATCATCACTTGGCGTCTCTTCGCGATGTTGCTCTTCCTCGCCTGCCTCCTCAGGATATCGGCCACGATCTGATGCAGCGCGTGGAGTGCGTGGTTGAAACGGCAGCTCAGAGCACGACGCGACGAGCCGCTGGAACTGCGCCTCCGACTGCACTTCGTTCTCCTCCGGGTGCGACTCGGAAATCAGCGACAATATGCGCGGCATCTTGAGCTGCGCGAACACGTTGATCAGGGCGGACTTTCCAGTGAACAAAGGAAAAATGTACACTGTGCGATAGCCGCCGCCGGTGGACGGACGCTGCGCTGATGCTCTCCGCTTGCATGAGAACGGAGGCATCAGACATACTACCCGACCGCGATGGGGGCGTGGATGGGCTCCGCGGCCTGCTGCTGGATTTCATGGTGGCATCCTGGTCGCGCTCAGCACCTGACATCGCCGGACCAGGAAGCAGGGGCGTGACATTGCCCGAGTCGCCTGAGGGCGGACTATCTGTCCACATTTTGTCCCGGTCGCTTTCGGACTCCTCGCTGCTGACAGTCGTGCTGGACCTCCGCGAGATCATGGAGGTAGCGAGGGGGCTGCGATGGGGTTGGTCGGAGGACTGCTCGCGGGGGACGAGAAGACTAGGACGCCGGATGCGTAGCATGAATGGATTGAGATCGTCTGCAGGATATGTACTGCTAGATGAGGTGGACGACGATGAAGAGGGCGGTAGAGCGAAATCAGAGGAGGAAGTAGGTAGCGACGGGCGTGATGAAGGCCCCAGCATCATGAGCATGCGATCAGAGTGAACTCTCCTCCCCTGGCGAGTGCAAAGACGTTGCAGAGCTTGTGGCAAAGTTGTGGTCAGCTTCGAAACAACGCAAAGGTGAGTGGGCCATGGATATCGTTTGAGTGCTCGCTGCTCGCCGAGAATCGCGATCCGAGCGCTTATATCGGGACGATGACCTTGCCATCTTTCATGCACCGCGAACCGCTAACGCATTCTTCAAACTTCGAGCTTCGAGCCTCAAACTCAAACTCAAGCTCAAGATTCAACTTATGACTGCTTTCAAGATCAGAGAGCTCTCAAGAACGCAGTGTATTGGGCAGCAAAACACGGTAATTGGATTACACGAGCAATTATTAATGTACCACAATGTGATAGGTGACCCATCCTTCTTGCCGCATCACGCCCGCAGGAGAGAGATGATGGTCCAGGTAGAGCCGAACACCAGGCCTGGAACAAGGAATCAGCATGGCCACGACAGTGTATAAGTATATGTGGCACACCGAGCCAGTTGAACGTGCCAATCATGGCACCGCCAAGGAAGTTGCGCTGTAGTCGTTGTCAACGAAATACGGTAGTAGAACATGAAAAGAGTACGTACACGGGTAGGGTCTCCGGTGCTGTATCCGATGGTGTAGATGAAGCGAGACAGCGACCAGACGCCACACATGCAAGCCGCGGCGACCGGGTACTTCAAGGACATCACAAGAGTACTGTGTCGTTGCTCTCAGCAACAGACTTCAGTGGAATACCACGTAACGTACCCGGAGAGAATAATCGGCAAGTATTCGAGCGTGTTTTGGTGAGCACCTGATGACGTACTTTATGCACTGTCTAACACTGTTGTAAATGTGAAGGACTTACGTTGCGTGCAGTTGAAGATGGCAGCCTCCTTAGAGGCAGCTGCCTCAGCCTTCTCCGCGTAGACTGGTGCCTCAATCCTAGTAAATAAAAGAACACGCAAAGCCACACCGGTACATACGCTGAGGGTAAGCGATACCAGCGCGCTTGCGAGCACGGCCGACCTTCACAGTCTGGAAGAATGTCAACCAGAACGTGGAGACAATCGCCGCAGCGGGGTAGACAATGCTGCGGACTGTGAGCGTGCTGACGAAAGAGAAACGCGAAGATGCTCACTCTTTGGAAAGTACGATGCCGGTAGACATTTTCAGGGGTTGGAACGAAGTCAAAGAGCTGGAGCAATGTCGACGAGGGGCTTGCGTTCGCACTGTGACACCGTGTACGTTGATATATATCCCAAGGAATTCGGAATTGCGACGGTCACGGTCGTTGGATACGTCAGCTACCGGCATCGGAGTTTAATAAAGGGTTACTCACATTTTCTGGGCACTGGACGTAGCGACGCGACGCGCTATTAATGTACAGGGTCTGTAATACAACATATCACAATCATTAACGCCCACATACATAGAGGAAGAAGCTTTCCTAAATAACAGACGCTGATGTTGTTGCGGGAAGTTGGTTTGTTCGACAAATTGAAGCACGCCCAGGCATTGATGGAGATGACACGATCTCAGATCGACATGTCCACACGTGACACTTGTTCCAAAGCGCGTCCAGGGCGTCTAAAATTTGGTAACGCGCCACGTGGCAAAGCAACGATCTCTTCGTCCGGCTGTAGGACCTGAGACACATCCAAATGTCAAAACGCGCGGCAACAGAGATTCAGTCAACATCAAGCGACACTGCCAGGAAGGCACCGCGGAACAGCGCGCAGCGGGAAAATGCCGCGCAAGTGGACGAGATGGGCGAGTTCGAGGATGGCTGGGAGGACGAGTACGAAAGCGATGATGATATCGTCGAAGGATCAACAGAAGAAGGGGAAGATGGTATGTGCTCAGCCGGACTACTCGTGTCCGTATCGATTTAAATGGATCCAATGTAAAGGCATGGATATCGACGAGGTTATGCCTGCGATCGAGGAGTCGGACGAAGCTCCTACTGCGCCCAACGTATTCATTCCAGGAGTGCACCAACTAGAGAAGGATGAGATTCTCGAACCAGACGACTCAGTGTACATCATGCGACATTCTATGAATGTAAACTGGCCTTGCCTTTCGTTCGACGTCCTCCGGGATAGCCTAGGAGATGAACGGCAACGATTCCCAGCTTCGGCGTACATTGTTGCAGGGACACAGGCAGAATCAGCAAAAAACAATGAGCTCTCCGTATACAAGCTGAGCTCATTACATCGCACGCAACGAGACGGGGGTCAGTCACCTTATAATTTCGACTCTATTCCTCTACAAAGCTCCTTCCCGTCATACAGATGATTCAGACTCAGAAAACGACGACGACGACGATGCCTTAGACGAAGACCCCATCCTGGAGTTTCGATCTGTTCCTCACCTCGGCGGCGTGAACCGTGTGCGCGCACAACCCCTCCCATCTTCATCGACATTGCCACCAGTCTCACAGCCTTACTATGTTGCCAGCTGGGCAGAAACAGGGAAGGTGTACATATGGGACGTCCGGCCGCTGATCGAAGCTCTCGATGTGCCCGGGTACTCCGTAGACAAGGCGCGAACACACTCTCCCGCGTTCACTATCAATTCGCATGGTCGTGCCGAAGGCTTCGCGATGGACTGGGCTTCGTCTGGTGAAGCGAATCCTACCGCACTGCGTCTCTTGACCGGTGACATTCAGTCAAAGATCTACCTGACCACGACCACCCCATCCGGTTTCAATGCTCTATCCCAGCCATTCATTTCACACACGTCTAGCGTAGAAGATCTACAGTGGAGTCCCACGGAAGCAACTGTATTCGCATCGTGTTCAGCAGACCAGAGCGTACAGGTATGGGATGTCCGGAGCAAGGGGAGGAGAAGTGTCGCGGGCATTGAGCGGGCTCATGAGAGCGATGTGAACGTCATTAGCTGGAATCGGGCAACGACGTATCTCCTATTGAGTGGAGGGGACGAAGGTGGCATCAGAGTGTGGGACTTGCGGAATGTGAAGAAAAAAGGGTACGTAGTCGCTATCATGGGATCGCATTTCATGTCCGAGACTAACTTCTTGTTGCATGGATAGGGCATCCACGCCAGATCCTACCCCCGTCGCGATATTCAACTGGCACCGAGCGCCCATTACATCCATAGAATGGCATCCAACCGAAAACTCGATTTTTGCGGCCTCCGGGGCGGATGATCAAGTCACCCTATGGGATCTTGCTGTGGAACAGGATGACGACGAGACAGGTGCAATGGAAGACACACCGGATGGTGGACGAGATGTCCCTCCGCAGTTGCTGTTTGTCCACCAAGGACAGAAGGACATCAAGGAGGTCCATTGGCATCCCCAGATACCGGGGACAGTGGTCAGCACGGCGTTGGATGGTTTCAACGTATTCAAGACGATATCAGTCTGATCGATATAGTCCACATCTATCTCATGTCATGCCGCTCTTATCTGCAGATATGCATATATATGGTGTATCGATACACAGGATCACGAATAGGGTCAGTGCACAAGACGTCTATTCGGATGGTCATGTGCTGTAAACGAGAGGAACGAATCCACAGAACCAGTGTTCTTTGAAACCTTGCCACACAGGAGTTATAGAACGCGGACCAGCTATCGATATTCCGACGACCGTCGAAGGGAAGGTGCTCTGTTCGGGTGCACAAAAAACCACGGAGGTGTCTTGCCCCATCCTGTCGCGAGATTGTCCGTCTAGCGAGAGCCCCGCAAACTCCTGGCGGAGGCCGACGGGTGATGCGACTCGTCAAAGGGATTCTCACTGACGGCAACCCTCCGTGACATCGCACGTCATCAGTACAAACCCGACTGGTTGTTACCCTTCGGGGAACGTATCTAAGAACCGATAAGGAGTCGGCATATGATGAACGCAGCGGCATGACATACCTTCGCAATGTTCTTGTGAAGAATGTCCATTAGAATGGCATAGATGTTCCGAATGTCATAAAGGTTCTGCCGTGCAACGTAGAGCAGCTTCTCATCTAGTTCTTTCATCGCCAGCTATTTTTAAGACGCCATCTCGGTCTGAGTATGGAAACCAAACGCATCGAGGGGGAAGACGGTACGCACGGTGTAGTCTTCTACATGAGGGTATTTGATAACTTTCGAGCAGATTTTAGCACGATTCAAATGCGCTTGCCTAGATGCGTCACGAAGGTTGTATGCGCTCTCCTGTGAGCGGTGGATCTCGGTGAGAACCTCTGGAAGCATGTGAGCGCGAGGCACACAGGGATCAAACCTAATTGAACAAACGAACCTTCTTGTATCTGGACTCCTGCAGATATGTTCACGAATAGTATAGCAAAGTACTAAAAATAACATTGACCGCGGTGAGAGCGTACCGAAATTGTCTCCGCTAGACGAAAGCACCCGAATGTCAGACGGCCGGCATCCAATTTCACTGATGAGCCCATTCACTTACTCCTCGATTCTATTTTTATGCGGCCAGACATGAGTTAGAGGGAGGCACCGCGATAGCACGAGATGCACTTACTTTGGCATTGAGAGATTGACCCATAATTTCACCTTGTCCTAATAACAGATGACTCGATGAACAAATTCCGCGAAGCTCAACACAAAAGACTGACGCATAGATCCGCTAATTGCTCGCATTCCTTTTTTAATCGGTCATACACTTTAACGAGGTGCTGATTTGCGAGAATCAAGTTGGGGTATCTGGCGAAATAAACGTCGTTTGGGTGGGTCAAAGCTGAAGTAGATGAGACATTTTCGAAATCGTCGGCTTCAAGTTTGCGCTTCTTAGTCTCCGGCCCTTCGGAGGAACGCGGGTCAGGCGGTGGGTACACCGTGGCGTCTGTGGACATCACGCCATGAGATTCGTGGAAAGGAGAAGATGGCGACTTGGTAGAATCAATGAGCTCTTGTAGCTCGCTGTACAAAGTCAGTGCCTATTACACCCTTGCTTGATCTAAGTGCATATACTCACAGAATCTGTGTAGTTCATCCGTTAGCCTTCTATTCGATGAATAAACCTAAAATCCCACCTTCATCGGAAATATTTTGAAAATAACATCATCCGCTACTGCAGAGGCGGCTTTACGAAATTCCTGGAGCCGCGGAGTCCATGTAGGAGTCTAGCATTCGCATTACCGACGTTGAGCACGCACCTCCAGTCTTCTCTCCAAATCTTTATCCATCTTATATTTGTCCGGCATATATTTGGGTGAGTTGGCGAAAAAGCAAACTAGAGTCGTCTTCCTGTTGAATGTTGCGGTATGACAAGTGCTCGTTCGTCTGTCTCCCGCCGTCCGGCGTCTTATATAAGCGCCCACTCCACGTGGTCGAGGGGTGCGCGCCCGATCGTCCGTGTCCGCGAACAATTCAGTCGAGCGCGGCACGAGCTTCACTCATACTGTCTCCTTCCGGCGCGCTGACTGGGCGACACATCGACGACCTCAAGCCTGTGCGCTACTCCGCATACTTTGCTGTTGTGACGGGCGACATCTGGCTTGTGACATTATCCGCGACTTCATTATTAAGCACGACGGTCAGCGATCATCCCGTCTGGATCACACGAACGTCAACACTATGTCTGCCGCACAGGTGTGTCTCATAACCTTATATATCTGCTGGTCGCTGCTCACTCGCGGTAAGGACGAGAGTGACGTGATCTCTGCATTGACCGGCTTCTCTCTGGATAACGTTCTAAGTGGCCTCAAGCTACCAGGCGGTGTTGCCTTGACGGATCAATTGGGTATCGCTGGGATCGAAAACCTTACATCCCAAGAGATTTATAAGGAGAGCTGGGACGATAATGAAGCTATAGGCCCCGGAGAGGGAGAGGACTGGGAGGATGAGGTAGACAGGGAGTTGGAAGCTGAGGGAACTCCGGAAAGTGCAGGGGTGAAGACGGAGATGCTCTCACCGAAGGAAATGGGGCGAAAGCAGAAGCGCAAAAGGGTGGTACGACGCTTGGTGGAGCGGCCAAAAACTGTATACGAGAGATTTCCGACGTTCGAGAAAGATAAAGTATTGAAGTTCACCGAACTCTTCAAAGGTCACACCGTACAAAGGTCCAGAATATCCAAAAGACCATTCCATGGTATAGTTGCTAGTGCATTGCGTATGATATCGATCCTAAACATTTGCCAGTCATCGAAGTACCCCCAACACGGAAGAAGGACGTGTCCAAAGGATTCCTAGCCGCTATTGTTGGTGACACAGAGCGTCAGGTGGAAAACAGGCGCGTCGAAGAAGTGGTGGCGTCCGGGAGCATTGAAATCGATTTGAGGCGAGCATTGGAGGTACGTCGCAACGCGCGCTGAAGTCTGTCGAGCATCGTATCTCACTGTCTCCTCAGAAGAGGGAACATGCAGGCGTGCCTGTATCGTTGCCCCTTGATGACCGGTCGTTTGACATGGTCTTGCTCTCTAACTGGGAGGACCAGATAGTATACGAACCGGAGGAGGATTCGGCCATGGGTCCAGCCAACAACCCTGCCGACTTGACGACTCCTCAGAATCAAGCGCTCGAATCTGGTCTCTGGACTCAGAGCATCATCTGGAGTCCTCGTGCGCCATTCAGGGACTTCACGCAATTGGAGCTGAACGAGGAGGACATATCAGTTGAAGAGCGACCACCTAGTACGGCCATAATTTCCATATCATTCTGTTTGATTGTTAAATATCGATACTTTCCTTGCAGTGCAAGATGTCGCCAGACCTCGGAAACGGTTTAGGACGGACAATCAACCCAAAGACAAGTTCAACCTGTCGAACGACCAGTACTACGAAGTCAGCAAGGAAGGTGGCCGGCATCGCGTCCGGCAGACGTTTGGTCAGCTCGTTGTCGAGCATGCCTATCCTGCTCAGAAGTTACAGTTACCATTCGTACGTGCCACCATCGATTGCTCAGTGCGTCAACTTAGTAATGATGATTTTGACAGTACAAAACTCGTCTTTCGAAGCAAGAAGCTCGCTCATTCCATCGCCCTGCGCTGCAATTTCCGGCCAATGTTGAGCTTCACTTCAGCAAGGTTCGTACGGCCAAGAAGAAGAAGGACAAGGCAGGCCGGAAGGTGGGCAAAGGTGGGAACGTCGGAGAGGGCCTGCACAAGACAGGTGACCTCAGTCTAAGGGACACGAGCAACTTCGTTCTGTGGGAGTTCTCGGTAAGCTATGCTGTATGCATTCCACTGCAATTGAGATGTCGACGTTCTTGATAGGAAGAGCACCCTCCCATCATTTCGAACTTTGGTATGGGCAGCATTCTGGTCAATTATTACCGGAAGAAGAACGAAAAAGATGAGTACGTTCCGAAGGTGTGTAATTGATCATGTGAGCAGACTTGCATTGCTTAGTACGACTATCACTGCTCTAGTCCGACCTGGGAGAGCCTATCGTCATTGAACCGCAAGACGAATCTCCATTCATGAAGTTTGGCTATGTTTATCCAGGGCAGACCGTTCCTGCACTGTACAGCAATTTGATACGCGCGCCCTTGTTTCGACAGAAGCCGTACCCCACGGATTTCCTTGTCATACGGTGCGTTGTCCACTCTCGTCCGGTCTATCTCCGCCTCTCATATTTCGGAAATAGCTCGACGTGCAAGAATGATACGAAGTACTACATACGTGAGATCAAGAACTTGTTCGTCGTAGGGCAGACATACCCGGTGACAGAAGTACCGGGCCCGCACTCCCGCAAGATCACCAACACCATCAAGCACCGATTACAGATCATCGCTTTCAAGTTGTTGCAGAAGAGCTCGGAGGAGCGACTGAAGATATCCCGCCTGATGAAGTACTTCCCTGATCAAAATGAGTTGCAAATGAGACAGCGCCTGAAGGTACGCTGACACAGTGGAGCTGATGTTGTGACGGAAAGGTGATCACGTTACCACAGGAATTCATGGAGTATCACCGCCGAGGCCCACACCAGGGCTTCTGGCGCCTGAAGCCTGCGTGGTCAATCCCTTCAGATGCCGACATGCTTAAGATGGTGACGCCGGAACAAGTCGTTCTCTCCGAGAGCATGCAGGTCGGGCAGCGTCATCTCCAGGACGCCGGTTACAGCTTCAACGGCGAAGTTGCGGAGGATGACGAGGGTAATCTTTCGGTGGAGCAACAACTTGCTCCATGGATCACGACGAAGAACTTTCTGTTTGCCACGCAGGCGAAGGCAATGCTGCGCCTCCATGGCGAAGGCGATCCCACCGGTCGAGGGGAAGCATTCAGCTTCATCCGGGTATCTATGAAGGACATCTTCGTGAAGGCCGGTGAGGACTACGAGCAGAAATTAGGTACGTGGAAGCTGGCGGCTAAATGGCATTGCATCTGACACATGTGCTTAGCGGAGGCCGAGAACCGACCGAAGTCTGCACATCGATACAACGTTGCTGAGCAGCAGCAGATATACAAATCAGAGATTGAGCGGATATGGAAAGCTCAGTTTGACTCGTTGAGTCGAAAGGACGAGCCTCAGCTCACTGATGAGGAAGAGAAGGCGGTAGTGGACCAGAAGATGCAGAGGAGGCAATCCATCGCAAACGCATACACGCCCGTTGCGTCACCGATAGCTCATCGTGAAACCCCGGGACCTGCATCGCCGGCCTTCAGTCGCGGATCGTCCTTGGCAAGGGAAATGAGTCTGGGACCCGACGCGCAAAGGAGAGTCCTCCGCATCAAGCGTTTAGTATGTCCGGTTTCTGCCGCAGTCTAGGCAATGCGTTAATGCATCCCTGTGCAGGTCGATGGCGAATGGAAGCTCGAAATCATCCGCGACAATGCTGTAATCAGTGCCTATGTGAAACGGCGGCAAGCTATCGAGGAAGAGTCGACTACCGCCGATGCTCTGGCTCCCACTGGAGATGCGGACAAGGACAGGCGTGCGAAGAGGAGGTGAGCGCCATTCAGTTGTCCGACCAAATCCCACCTCATTCATTTCCGTAGACTCGAGGAAGAGATTGCGCGAATGAAGAAGAATCAAGAACGGCGGCTCCACCGGAAGAATGCCAAGATCGTGAAGGAAGGGGGAACGCCCATGCAACTCAGCCGGCCTGTGAAGCCAGATACGACGGTGGGTGCACACGATTGAATTCTTGATATGCACATGCTTACATGCATCCGCAGCGGCGATGTGGGCACTGCGGCCAGATGGGTCATATGAGTACGTGTTGTATTACGGCGCGTGGAGTTGTGCTGACCATGCGCTGCCAGAAACTAACCGTAAATGTCCTCGCTGGGCCGAGTTCAACTCGGGCAACACCCCGTCCCTGCCGACCCCATCAGTTACAAGCCCTCCTGCTGCGTCCCCGGGCGGCTCGACGAGCTTCTCGTTTGGCACGGGTCCGGACAGCTTATATGTTCCGGGGACATCAAACGCCTTGCGACCAAATCCATCTTTGAGTTTGGGGAGCCATGGGCCTTCCCCGCTTGCGACTAGCCCGCCGGTGATGGCTATGGATGACGAAGACGACGTGCCCCAGACTCCCTCGGGATCTGGTCCGAAGATAAAGTTGACCTTGAAGAAGACATAGCACCTAGTTCTCTACGAGCGGCATGTGTGGTGTAGGATTTCTGCTTTGTGTACATGTAGTCTAGCCCTCCAGTCATAGTTGCACTTCTGTAATTGTAGTGTTCACTTTCCCGCCATTGGAGGGGCGGAATTAGTCGGATTTTGCGTAATGTCGTGCTTCTGCGTGCGCATCAATGATACGAGAACCGTTCGGGGGGTGGGTGACATTGATGTGGAGACTGCGGGGAAGTGCGCCGGGCCGCCGGCCGACTGGCACGGCATTCACAGCACGCCGAGCGATTCGCGCCATCTGGACCCACTGGGGACAACAAGGCCGCCTGTAACTTATTCTTGGGCTTGGGCAGCGCAACGGTCTCTTCTACAGCCCCATTTTGATTTCAGGTCCAGGCTGGCTCGCTTGTGCATGTATTTTTGAACAGTAGGTACCATCCGCTGTGATCGGATTTATTCCGCTGCATTGGTATCCTTCTTCGCGTAATCCGCACCTGGAGGCGCTCGCGCAGGACTAGGCTCTTCTCCCGTGACTGGCGGTCATTCGTCTTACTGGAGGATGTTGGCTTTCGCCTCATGGAGCACACCAATGAAGGCGGGCAGCTCTATCATTTTCAAAATCTGACCGAGCTGTCCAATCGAACGTGTTTCCGGGTCCATGCGCCGTCGCTATTAGAGCGTAATTTCGACGCGGAAGCCACCCTGGGCGTGTGCAGCAAAGGTCTAGTTCAGCGTTATTTCAACTATGTCCTTTAAGATTCGCCGCTAACACTACCCGTCACCATTGTATGCAGGCGACACCGTATCTCAATGCATCCGGAACCTCTCGACCGGTATTCCGCCGGCTCCAGATGGTCTACGCTCCCCCAATCCATATGGCGAGATCTCAGCTCATTCACACGGTGCTGCTCACGTTCGTCCACCAGCAGCATCAACGAGAGAGAGAGAGCAGCTTCTTCTGGCCGCTCGCTGATCACAGCGCACCTATCCGCGGAAGTCGCCTTCTAAAATTGTTCCTGGGCGCCAGGCAGCCTCTCATATGGTCTCCTCGCGGGAGGCTCTATGCTGCGCCAAGCACCCTCAAACGCCGTAGAGCTCAGACATATCGGGCGCGAACAGCGTCACGCGACGCGGCGTTGGTCCCGGTGCAGGTGGCCAGTGTAGGCGCAGCAACAGCCATCACATCAGGAGTTTTGTCATTTAATCCAGGACAAAACATGCGTCCAGCGACGCTCCGATGCCATAGAGCCGCTGCTTTTTTTGCGCGGTCAACGAGCAAATTTAGTCTGATGGTCTCCCAAGCAATACGGTCGCTGGCGCTATCATCGCATCAGAGCCGTCCGAAATGATTATCAGCTCTGCCAGATTCCGGGTCACCCACCTGTTTCGTTGCGCTAACGAAAAAAACAGCCTCCCATGTGGACACGAGCTCCTGGCTCATCCTCTGAACAATCTCGGAATTTCGGAAGGATTTTTACCGACGTTGTGAGGGGGGAAGGCTTGAATAGCTCGCAGCGTACCGTAAGGCGGCTTTCCGGAATCACCGGTTGACAACACAGCGGGAACGAACTCATGCAGTATAGTGCAAGAACCACCTTGATCGGATGGAGTTCCCGCTGATTTGTCGCACGCCACAACTTCGGGGGCCGTTGGAACGTCCCAGGGTATGTCGGTGGCCGGCTGATCATGTACAGACGCTGATGGGCAGCCTTTCTCTATTACAGCATGTTCCACCCAGCTGGGGTGCGGAGACACCACGGATATGGGTGCGTTTGCCCCAGCTATCTAATCGATGCGCACAGTCGAGGCCTGCCTGAGCATTCACAGGATGTATCTCTTCAGGCATCCTACAGCGGTATATCTATCCATCAAGCATCAGTTCTCAAAACGCTGTCAGGGTCGGCTCAGGGTGGTCCACGGGAATGCAGGACGTGCCGAGCGAGGAGCATGTGCCTTGCGTTGCGCATGAGCTGGAGAGCGACAAGGATCATCCAGACACACTGCGGCCGAGCGTGGTCAAGGATGCTGCGGATAGCGGCATCCGTCGGTCATCTGCCCTATATTAGGGGATGCGCGTTTTGTTCTACACGGCACCTGTGGATCGTGGCAGTGGCCGAGTCTGAGTGCGGTGGCTGATGGACTGCCGAGAGTTGGGCGGGCGGCTCGAGACGGAAGAGGGGAGACGCGGAGTGGTCAACTGACTGTGTATATGATGCCGCACTGGAGCCAAAAATAGCGCAATGGTGGGGGAAGCGATCGTGTTGGCGGTGCGACTGGCGATATGCGCATGCGTGGACATCGCATACTGATCAACTCAGCGGGCGAGCCTCCGGGGGCGCCCGTCAGACAGACATCGCGGATGGAGATTCCGTGTATGTTTGGGATCAATACTGCCTCTGCGTCCCACGATGTGCCCCGCGAGCTTCGCATCGCCCGTCGAAGAGATCCTCGTTTCCGAGTGCGCCCGCTTGAGAGCCTCCTGGAGGTTGTTCGCGGACGAGTGTCTCGTGATCGACGCGCACGGGGGCCGACACGTTCCGCGAGCACCCGGAGACAGCGCTGGAGTCGCTGTGCGCTCCGGAAGTTGCGAATGGAAAGTGCAGGCCACCACCGCGGCCATCCCTTGGCGAATTCTTGGCGGCCTTGACATGCTGCTTGGCCCGCTCACATCCCCGTAGCGGTGTCCGGGGTGCCCCTCCCTCCCATCCGGCCTAGCTCGCCCAATGGCATACGTTCCTTGGCGCGCAAGCAACGGCCAGCACAGGCACTTGGGAAGGGGACTGCGCTCCGTTAGATCTGCTACCGTTTCGGAAGCTTACAGCATGGGTGACTTCGCCGTCCACCGCAGCTGTCCTGGACGCAGCCCGGCCGCATCTAGGCACTGGGTGTCGAGGACAAGGCGACCGCGACGCTCAAGGGAGGCGACGAGTGAAGCGTGTGAATCCGACTCGGGGGCGGCCGAGGGCCTCATAAGGAAAGCGGGAGTCGCTGCGCCAAGAGCCAAGAGCGCAGGCTTGGCATACCAGGCCCGCCAAGAGATCTCGATAGGAGCCGCGATTTAAGAGTTAAAGGCGAGTTCTCCACCATGCCGCTCGACGACGCCGACCCCAGGTCCCTTGTGCCCCTCCACACCCTCCAACACGCCCTCTACCGCCAACTCTACCCCTTCGACATCGCCAACGACGGCGACCACGCCTTTCAATTCATGACCCAACCCATGCCCTCCCCCCGTCCCGCCGACCCTTCCCTCTCCCCCCCGCCCCTCTCTAACACCGGCTCCTCCAAGGCCTCGACGACCTCCGAGCCCCACACTCCCCTGCAGTCCGCCCCAGCCCAGACCGACGAAAACTCCCCTCGCCACGAATGCCAGTGGATCGACTGCGACAGAGTCTTTGCCGACCCCGAGGGGCTCTACAACCACCTCTGCAACGACCACATTGGCCGCAAGAGCACAGGAAATCTCTGTCTGACCTGCAAATGGAAGGAGTGCGGCACAACCTGCGCTAAGCGTGACCACATCACCAGCCACCTCCGAGGTGCGTCAAATGCTTTCTACTTTTGTCCCGGTCCCGGATCCTCATTGCCGATGTAGTGCACACGCCCCTCAAGCCACATGTCTGTGTCATCTGCAAGAAGCCGTTCAAACGGCCTCAGGACCTTAAGAAGCATGAGAAGATCCATACCGAGGAGCACCATGCACAGCACAAGCACTCCAAGGCCATCACTGTTGCTGATCCGTCATACAATTCCCGCGTCCGCGGAGACCATCTTTCGTCCGCGGAGGCTCTCCCTTCCCATGACAAGAAGGCGTTTTCTCAGCAGCTGCCTTCTGTCGCCGGCATGGACAAAGTTCAGCCCCCGGTCGCACGCGCCAAGAGCAATTCCTTGTCCGTCTCTGACCGTTCCTCTGGTACGTGTTCCCGCGCACGAGCTCGAGGGATGTCCACATTGATCCTCGGACACAGGCGCAGGGTATGGGCTTCTAGCCACGCCTTCTCCCGAGATCCACCAGGCCGCAATTAGATATCCGAATGCGGAGACTGGCTCGTCCCGGGCCCAGCTCTACCATATGCAGAATCAATTGCCCACCTGGGAGGTTCTCACGGTCGACGGTACCCCTTCCAGGACAACTGGCAGCGGGTCAAAGCGCAGCCACGACGAGTACAGCGTCGATGACTTTTTCACTGACATGAAGAAACGTCGCGTCAATCCATCGTACGACCCGAGTCAGTCAATCATGTCTCTATTTCGCGGACTTTGGCTGACTTCTTAATCTAGATATGGCGGCGCGCCTCAACACACTCGCATACCAGCATTCGTTGGGTTCTACTCAGTCAATGGGGCCAGCCCCTGTTGGCAATAGCATGTTTAATCCGCGATCCGTCTCGTTCGACATACGAAGTCCCGAGGAGTTGGCCGCCGTCAATGAATTCTTGATTGCGCTCGGTCGTGACGTTGCAGGTTCAGGAGGCGTTCCCCGACAGCAGCAGCCTCACCCACAACAGCATCATCATCCTAACATGTCCTCGACGCAGCATATGCCGTCTCCTAACGAGGCCTCCTCGAGCACTTTCTTCGACGCAGCTTCTCTGAACCAGCTTGGTCTAGCGGGCATGCCTGGTATACCCACGGCACCGGGTCCTGGGTCCGGAGCAGGCTACCATGGTGACGCTGGGTATCTATCTGTCGACTTTTCGTCGCACCACTTGCCACCCGTGTATCCCAGCCGCTCATCGCATCAGTCCGTGCAGGCAGCACATTTCGGTGGGTATCCTTCGCCGCAGGATATGATGTCCTCCAATGGCTCGATGTTCGCATCTATGCCATATTCGGGCTCGCGGACACGAGCGCAGCGCGTTTCGTCTGTCTCATCTGACTTGGATGAGCGCTATCACTCGAACTATGCGGGTTCAAGCATGCAGCAGTCATACGCGTATTCGCAAGGGCAGTATATGTCGCCACCGCATGATGGGATGCCATATGCGATGCCCTCACCGCTGTCAACGAATTCGACGAGATCGACACCATCTAACGCGACACCGCCGCGTCTCAGCGATTCCGCTCCGATGGCGTTTGTGCCTGAAGGGACTACGGCATTCGATGCAGTCCGGCCGACCAGGGCGCCCCCGCCTTTGCAGTTGGCGCCTTTGGAATACGGAACGAAGAATATGCGTTCGATCTCGCTCCTCAAGACCGCTCCTGGGAGTGCAGAAGCTATCGCTGCTAGCTCGAGAAGTAGGCCGGAGCCGATGGAGCCCAAGCTCGGAACAGGCATTGTGCGCAGAGGCCCTCCTGCGAAGCTGACGGCAGAGGCTGTATCATCGATGATGACGAACCTCTCGCGTCCTCCGTTGCGCTCATCGTCTAGCCAGAACGACGCCCTCTATCCCTTGCTTACATTTGGAGACGAGCAATTCAAACTTGCTCCGCTCAGGAACACCTACCGCTCTCCCTCTCCGCCTGTATCTGAATCGACGTCCTCTCCCATGTCTCGGGGCTCAACAATTTCGCCGCCTCCCTCCAAGACGCAGGCGCATCCGTCACGACACGAGTCGAGCACGCCGACCTCGAGCTCGAGTCCAAGTACGCGCTCGAGCCTTTCACCGGAGCCGGGTCCGACGGTGTTGCCGGGTATTCGTAGTATTGCCACGGACTCTCCGCGCGTGACGCCGCGTCGGCGGGAGACCGAGGAGCTTACGCAGGCTGTCGGCCGCATCGAGCTCGACAGCCGAGCTGCCCGCGACGTCACTCCGGCTCAGCGGGCGGCGCACGCGCATCTGGTGCGGGATTTGCTGGTGTCCATCAACGTGGAGTACCGCAAGCGCTTCGGCACGCCCCCTCCGCCACAGGATTCGGCGCCGAGAATACAACCGCAGGAGGAGCTGCGAGATGTGGAGATGGTCGGCGCATAAGCCCATGCGGCGTGAAATCTCAGTCCGGTACTGCGGACGCGTTATTGCCGTTGGACTTGTGACCATTGGCGTAGAAATGCTGCACCACCGCCGGATGGTATTTTCGACTTTGGACATAGTGTATATTAGTATATTGGCCATCGCCTGGGCTCCCTTTACTGATGGCTGAACAGCAAAAAGAAACGATGTGACCGCTTCGAGCTTATAATGAATTCAATTATCGCCCAGCGTCGGAGAGTTATGTGTCGCGAGAACTCACCCGGTCCGGCGTCGTTTATAGGGCGGTTTATCAGCCCGGAATAAAGTCCGTGATTTGCAGCGTACCTTGACGCAACCCAAGCAGGATCATCAGGTGAGCTCATTCCGCTCGATTGCACCTTGCCTTCCACCAACCCAAGCTCACAGTAATACCGCTTGTGCCTGTTTGAAATATTATGATGCACCGATGGTCGGTCGACGCGTGTACGTGCGGCGTTCCGAGCCGCATGCGCGGTCGGTTCACAAGCGTCTCACAGTCCAGGTTGTCAATTGAATATGATCATGGGACCTTACGGTCAGAACTTCCTTGCGACTCCCGGGTGATTCTGAGTTGATCCTAAGGTAGCGGAGCTCCGGACGTTTGCGAGCTGAGCTACGAGCGTCAAATCATGGGCTTGTCATTAGCGACGCCGAAACGCTCGAGGTGGACGGGAATTAGCGCGAATAAATGCGCCTGCCAAGCGAGTTCAGCAGAAAATGCCCCGTCGAGACGGTGTCAGTGGGCCCTGCGGTTGCGGTGCACTGTGTGCGGTTGTGTACTAGTCCGGCTGCGTGCGGCGCAGGCCCGCTTGGCGAAGGGGCAATTCTGGTTTGCTCTCGGCGAGCTTATCACGGACGCTAAGAATCATGCGTGTGCCTCGTGCGTCTCTCTGTCCCCACGCGGAAGCAGGTTGGATCCCCGCCTCGAGTGAGGCGGTGCGTATAGAACGTTCTTGGAGACGGAGGCTATGAGGGGTTGAAATTTGTGAGGTGAAGAAGCAGAGGAAGTGGGGTACGGAACCTGAAGGGGACGTTGCCCGGGCGTAATCGGTGGCTCTATTGGCTGGATCAGTGACGCGGGAAATGCGCGTTCGCGTCATAATTATAATTTCGTACAGCCAAGAGTAAGAACACTGGCCTGCAGGTGCACTTATCTTGCACAGCCCGCGCTAGACGACAATCCCCATCGGCTGGCAAGGGCGTGGCGTATAGAATTGTCACCAGACCGTAAGCGCAGCAGGTCAAAAGGCTCAGGCGGAAACGACAGCATGGTATGCTAGCATGGTACAGGCTCAGCATAGACGACCTTTAGCGGAGAAGATCTGGGCTTGCCACTCTGGGCACAACTGTTTGGCCTTGTGGCGCAGAACAACGTCAGTGGAGATCCCATTAACGAATACGAGACACCTAGGGGAGCCGTGAACGTTCGCGTTCGCTCTGCTCGAGACCAGAGCGCAAGCACATGGGACTCCGACGGTGGAGAAGAATTAGGATCGCCTCATATAAGCGTCGCTTTGGTAGCGTGAAGTCTGAATCACCTCATTTGCCGCACAACTCGTTACCTCACAGTTCATCGCCTATCATGTCGTTCGCTGAATTCTATTACGACCCCTTTGTCGAGTTCAACCACATGCTCGACCAGGCACTGACCGAGAGGAACGTTCCCGTTGCTCAGGCCCTGCAGGCTCAAGGGCCGCAGAGACACCGGAATCGCGGACGTGGGCCGTGGCCGAGGTGAGCACAGTAGGGTTTTCTATCAAGGTCATACCGAGTTGATTTTGTTTCTTCCGCCGTCTCAGGTTGGATGTGCACGAGAATAAAAAGATCAATAAGGTCGTAGCTACGTTTGAGCTGCCGGGCCTGAAGAAAGATGATGTCAGCATTGAGGTGCACAACAACCGCGTCGTTGTATCGGGCGAAGTAAAGCAGCCCGAGGAAGTGGAAGAATCTGAATATCCCGTCCACGAGCGCCACGTCGGCAAGTTCTCCAGGAGCTTCCAGTTGCCTGCTGGCCTTGATGTGAGTGCAACGGGCATTGGCGAAGTGAACACCGTTTGACATTGGATATCCTAGACGAGCACCATCAAAGCCAGCATGGAAAATGGTTTATTGACCATCTCCTTCCCCATGGCTGCTCCTGAGACGGCGCCGAAGAAGATCACTGTGGCGTAAATAGGCATCCACTCTGTGCCACTGTCGTCATGATTCATATTTGATGTAGCTGACGGACAGTTCCGCTCGAAGTGTTTTTAGCGTAACAGTACCTGCAGCAGTCATAACTGTATACTAGCCATGATTATTTTCATAAACGAGCAGTTCAAATATCGCTGCATGTGGAGTTCTGCTTGTACTCACGTAGGATGAAGGGAAGTAGAGTCTACGACCTGCTTAACCGGATGATTAACACCCCGCACCTCCCCGAGCCCGAGAGAAAATCAGCGCTAACTGATCGGTAACTTTGCCCAAATTGACTGCAACATTCTGCCTTCGCCAGGGCCTTCTTTGTGCGGCTTGCTCATATTTTATACGAAATCTCTAACCAACTTGTGGACAAGTCGGCGACGAGACGCGCATACCCGACCCACGTGACCGTGTTCGAGACGCGACGAGACGCGTTCGGCCATGATGTCACATGCGCCGTCGGTGCTGCTGATAGGCCATAGTGCGCCTCCCAGGATCCTTCCATACCAATTAGCAAATCGAGCAGGGTCTAATCTTCTACATCCATCATGCCTACGACAAGGAGACAAGCAAAAGCAGCGCAGAGCGGTCAGGACAAGGAGGCCCAAACTCCCGTCAAGCCGGTGTCCAGACGGAGAAAGTCACACCCGATGAAGCGCGCACGAAGGAAGAACACAGCGACATCCGCCGACGAGGAACACGCTAATGGTGATGCGCCAGAAAGCAAGGAGCAGCCAGCTACGAAGAAGCCTAAGGTGGAGGAGAATGATGGAGATACTATTGGAGAAGCAAGCCAGGGACGAGCGGAAAAGGCCGATGCGGAACCAGCAGAGAAAGCGGAAATGAAATCCGAGAAGATGGAAGTAGAAGAGCAGGTTGCTTCAGAGAGTACAGGAACTACGAAGGTGGAGGATGCAACTCGAAAGGACCACCCGGTGGAGCATGCATACCAAACAGGTGAGATGCCACAGCACGAAACTCTTCAGCATATTGACGAAACATCGTGCAGGTACCATCGAAAGAGGCCATATCTACTTTTTCTACCGTCCAAAGGTCGAGATGGAGGAAGTTCATTCCATAGATGATGTGCAGCGCTTCCATCTGCTGCTCATCCCGCGCCCGCCCGAGTTCAGTGTGTCGTCCCCGCCCCAATCTGCCGAGACGTTGGATGAGACAGGCGAAAACCAGGAGATGACAGTGATCCAACCAGGAGCAGACGCCGTTCCTGCGCCAGAGCCTTTAGACCAGAAGAAGAAATTCTTCCGATTGATCGTGGTGGGCAAGAAGAGCTTGCCCGATCCCGAAGAGGACCATGGTCGGGGCCGTGTCTTTTGGGGCACGATAGTCACTGTCAGCGATGATTTGCAAAAACTTGAGGAGGGACTTGGTCCAAGAGAGTATGAAACCAAGACAAGAGGTATCATATCTGTATCTTTGTGATAAAAAGCCACTAATGAGCCTTCTAAGGAATCCGCCATCAAGGATCCGCACGCCTTGTGGCTCGAGGAGCATATGCCATCGTGAACGCTGAAGCACGAGTCCCGTCGGATCGCGAGACGCACTTGGGCTATCACTTGTCGCATCCTACGCACGAGCAGTTCAATGAGGTGCAAGAGGAACTGGGCGTTCACACTGCATCATCGTTCGTCTTACAAGTGAAGAACCCGCTCGCGCCTCCAACAGGGATCGGTCGCATAGGACTGCCAAAGAACCGCGCGGTCGATTTCCCCGAGCGTATCATGAAGGAAGTGTTCGGTGTTGGCGGTGAGCGGGGAAGGGAAGACTTCGGATTACGCTTCGCGAGCGTCGAGAGAGTTGAAATGCTTGACCATGAGGGCGTTGAGCTCCTTTTCATTGCCGCCAGGAGCGGCGATGAGGGGTTGGAGAAGAGTCTGGGAGAGGGGCGCGGTGAAGGTGAGCAGGTTCCCGTCAGTCCCAGGTTTTTTAACTGAGAGCTATTCAGCGCTGCACGAGCTGGAGGAGAGAGAAAGCAAGGAGACCATCCAGCAGATCATGAAGGAACTCGCACTGGATTCGGAGAAAATTCCAGTGAACCCGTTGGAAGGTGACTGGGCGTGAAACACGTCTGGCTTTGAGCTTGAACGTGCTGTGTCTTGCTTATACCTACGCGAAATGTCGAAAGTCGGACTCCGCACTGTATATCTAGGACAACATCGATGTGATACGAATCCATCGGATGCAATACATAATAAATGAAGGGGTCGTGTCAAAGATACACCGCGTCTTTCGTCCGTCCGTAATCAGAGATGCAATCAAGCGGAAACAAGCAGAAAGGGTATGATACCGCGGAAGGCCCTCGGTATGATGATCATACATCGTTGCTGGAAGTCGGTAAGTCATTGCGGGGAATCGGCCTCATCGGAGTCGGCATTGATTCTGAGCACCTTCACCCATTCACGATAGTTGAAGTTGCCTTGCCGATCTGTGAATGGGCCTTTGAGAAGCTTGTCGATCTGCCACGAGTAGTCAGACGATACCGAGTGAGTGTGCCAACTGCACAACCATGCGAAAAGGTATCAGAAGCAATGACGAACCTCCTTCTGATCCATCCTCTCCCCGACATCTCCAAGCCACCTCCTGAGCTCATCGCTCTTGATGATCCCTGAGTCGTTCTCGTCGAAGCACTCGAAAGCCTCGAGCAGCTCCGCCTCCGAGTCGAAGTCGCACAAATGCTCGCCCATCATCGTGAGGAACATGGGAAACGTGATGCCTCGGTCGTTCGTCACGTCTACCTCAACTGATGGCAAACGCGAGTGCACGCCGTTGCCCTTGTGCTCGCCCGGGCGGTCTGCCAGGAGGTCATCCATCATCTTCTTGGACGGTGTCACTCCTGCGCGTGGCGTGCGTCAGCGCTCGCACCCGCCGATCCGCCATGTCATGGCATCGACATACCGAGGCTCGCAAAGATGTGCTTCAGGTCTTGCTCGCTGACCACGCCGTTTCCGTCATGGTCGATGAGCGAGAACGCTTCTCGGAACTGCTGGATCTGAGATGGCGAGAAGAGGGAGAAGACACCAGACGGCTCGCGCCGCTGCCGTGGCCGCTGAGGCTTGTTGGGCTGGTCATTCGAGCCGCCGGTCGGTGACAACAGGCCGCCGTAGTTGGACATAGGAAACGAGCGGTGATAGATAATTCGAACGTAGTGGTACAATCTACTGCATGCGTCGGGCGCTTACATTCAGAAGCGCGCGGAGCGGTGGCATGCTCACGTGCGCGTCGCGTTTGTGGCGGCTCGTTCACGTATGAAACCCCAGTATTGAACTTGAAGTACGAGGAGAATATGTCTCAACTCGGCCGAGATGACTTAATATACCGGGCCTGTGACGCAGATTCATATACAACAGTAGGTTCAGGCTGGGAAAAGTGTCCTCGCGAACCCCTCCGTGGATATATACTCCAGCATCGATATAGTACTAACCAAGACCCGTAATGATTTGTTTTTGGCCTGATATTGCCACTGGCGCGTCGTGTGTTTCGCGATGGTGACGTTCAATCCTGAACATTAAATTGCAATGAACCGCCGTCGGTGTCCCGACTACTGTTTCGAAAGGCAATGAAAAATGACAACATAAAACAATACAGTCAGCAATATACATCAACGACCAAACTCCCAGCATCTACTACGCAGCCTTCGATTTCGGCTTCCCGGCTGTCACGTACCACATAATGGCCAGAGCTAACGTTCGTGGCAGCCAGCCAAAGAATCTGAAGAGCCATGCGTTTTCACCCAAAGTCATGTACTGTGGTGGCTTCGGACTGAGAACTGTCTTGACGACTCTCCTCGCGAATTCATCAGTGGCCATACTCTTGGGACTTTTGCTCGCGTTGATGCGAGCGATGATCTTGTCGAGCCAGCCCGCGTAAAGACTGTCCGGCGGGATGCTAAGACGTGCAAGCGAATTGTCGGCGACGTGGGACTTGACGCCACCAGGCGCAATGTGCGTGACGGAGACGCCGAAGGGTGCACACTCCATATAGAGTGTCTCCGAAATGCTCTTCAAAGCAGCTTTGCTCGCGCTGTATGCACCACTCCATGGCGTCGGACTGCATACAAGTTACGTCAACATACGAGAACATTATTTCATAGATCACTTCACATACACGTCACCGACGATGGAGCCTACATTCACAATCTTTCCACTCTTCCGTGCTGCCATGCTGGGGAAAACGGCCTTCACCATTCGCATCACGGAGGTCGCATTGGTATCAAAGACTTCAGTGAATCGCTCTATGGGAATATCCACGAGAGGACCTGCATAGATACCTCAACAAAAAATTCACATTCACCAAGTTCCCACTCACCGTGACAAGGGATGCCTGCATTGTTGAAGAGCACGTCAATTCGGCCTTCCCGGTCAAGCACAGCCTTGACTACTTCCTCTACGTTCGCGCCATCGGTAACGTCCAGCTTCAAGCGTTCAATAGACTCGTGCTTCAAGCTCTCCATGGCCTCAACACGGCGCGCTGTAGCATATACTTTGCATCCTTGCGCGGCGAATTCCTCACATCTACTGACCGCTCAGTTCAGCTTGTGGCGAACAATGTGTCGGACGCACAAGAAGAATCCGATGCCGCCCTCTGAGCAGCCTGTGACTAGGACGATTGATGCAGAGTTAGACATGGCTGATTGAGTGAGAGTGTGGGAAGGTGAGAACGAGAGCTTCGCGAATGGCCCCGAGTGATTCAGATGGGATCACGGTGTGATCATGATCGCAGAGCACGTGGAGGCTGCGCAACACACCGAACCGGATTGGGCCCTTGGCGATCTAGTCGCAATGTAGCGTAGCGTGCATACACGCGCATTTTTGTGAGTATTCAACTGAGAACAGTATCGTTAAACAAGGTAAGATGTCCGGGATAGAGTGACACAAAGACCGAGGCCACAGGACAAATTGGCTCCGACAAATGATGATGGCGTTGAGTGCCGGATATGGGCACAAACGCAAACAAGCCCATACAGCCTTGACGGACCGATTGGATACCTCCCGCATCAGGCTCGAAATTGGCAGCTTGAATGACCCTCCCTCCGCATCCCGCAAATGTCGGCCCCCACCGAATTGTTTCTCCCTCCCGAGCTCCCTTATCCCATCAAAATTACCGCGCATTTCGTGGATACTGCCGACACTGTCTCTCGCGGCACTCGTCTGCTCGACTATTCATATAACCACGTCGGTCCTGATGGACGAGCGGAGGTCCGTTATGGGACGTGGGACTCATCAATAGAAGGCTCCGTGGAGAAGTGGGGATTCAAGACTGGTGAGGTCGTGTCTGCTCGCAAAGCCAGGGAGATTCCTGCGGTGTATATCACCGAACCATGCAAACATAGCGTGCAGCTCGGTGGCCTATGCTGCTTATGTGGGAAGGACATGACAGTGTGAGTACCATTACCCCATTTGTGCCGTCGCGCATGCTGACGCGGTCCCAGCTATGACTACACTGGCTTTTCCGACACGACTCGTGCATCAATCCAGATGACCCATCTCGCGAACGGGCCCACAGTGTCACTAGAAGAAGCGCAGCGCATAGAGCAGGAGACTGCGGAACATCTGCTCAAGTCACGCAAACTATCATTGATAGTTGATCTCGATCAGACCATTGTCCACGCCACAGTCGACCCTACTGTAGGGGAGTGGATCGCTGAGGGCGAGGCATGGGAGGCGCGACAAGCAAAGAAGGCTGCGGAAGCGCAGAAGAATGAGGAAAGTGCGGAGGAGATGAGTACCGACACTGATGACGAGGTCAACCCCAACTGGGAAGCTCTGAAGGATGTCAAGAGATTCAGGTTGGGGCCCGAAGCGCTCGGCCAGCCGTCTCTGAGAGGATTCAGAGGGAAGGGGAAAGAGAAGGCCATAGAGATGGAGGGCTGCATGTACTACATCAAGCCTCGGTGGGTCTCACGTTCGTCGCGTGCCTTGTCAATAGCCTCTGAGTATTTGTCAGTCCGGGTTGGAAGGAGTTCTTGGAGGCCATGGCGACCAAGTATGAAATGCATGTGTATACGATGGGTACACGCGCATATGCGGAGGAAGTGTGCGCCGCCATTGACCCAGAGGGCAAGATGTTCGGTGGACGGTTGCTCAGTCGAGACGAGAGTGGCAGTGAGTTTGTCTATATTGTTGTATCGCGCGGTTCACGCTCATTGGGTGGCGAGGCTTGACACAGAAGAGTCTGCAACGGTTGTTTCCCTGCGATCAGTCCATGGTCGTGATCATAGACGACAGAGCGGATGTGTGGGAATGGAGTCCAAATCTTGTGAAAGTGATACCTTGTGCGTGGCGCATATATGTCAAACGACAGGCTCCTTACGTTTCTCGCAGATGACTTCTTTGTCGGAATTGGCGACATCAACTCCGCATTCTTGCCCAAGTTGGACGCATTGACTACCACGCCCCCTGCAGGACCCTCAATCGTTACTCACACGACGGAACAACCTTCTACAGTGCCTCCGACGCAACAACCAGAGAAGGAGCCAACACCGTCCCCTTCTCCCACACCGACTCCTCCGCCTCAAACGCCCCCAGTTGCTTCGTCCTTGCCAGTTGAAGGCCTCTCCGCCGAAGAGATCGCTAAGAACGAGATCCTAATGCAGAACACAATAGCGCTGGAGGCGCAGGTGGAGGAGCGGCCTTTGGCGAAGAAGCAGGAGGAGCTACAGGAAGCATCAGCCGCTGCGAGCGATGAGACCGAGGAGACCGGTGAGACTACGACGGCCGCGGCAGCCGGTGGGCCTGTGACTGTCACTGCCGGGCAGCACAAGAAGGAGAAGGCACCGCGCAAGGCGTTGCTGAAGAACGATGACAGGGAACTGGAGCGTGTGCAGAAGGCGTGTGTTGATGGGTGCCTTTGCGTATCAAAGGCTCATGCTGAAAGAATATGTAGATCCTCGAGGAAGTTCACCAGCGGTTCTATGACGAGTACGACGCGCGCCCGCCAGATCACCGGAAAGGGGCAAAGATCAAGCCAAAGAAGCGGACAGAGCATGTGCCGTACGATGTAAGGGTGAGTGTTGCATACTGAGGGCGAGATATCGAAGTGAGAGCACGAGCCTGATGTTCTGAAGTTAATCATTCCGAGGATGCGGATGGACGTGCTAGACGGCGTTCATATCCTATTCTCTAGTGTCATCCCTCTCGACACGCGACCGGAGGCTACTGAGATTTGGAAGACGGCCCATGCATTTGGCGCTCAGTGTTATGCCGAGTTGTCGAACCGAGTCACGCATGTCGTTGCAGCAAAGGTGAGTGACATTGATACCACGCTTTGTTGCAGTATCTGATCCCCCTTAACAGCGTGGAACGCAGAAGGTTGACGCTGCTCGACGACAAGGCGGGATCAAGATCGTCTGGCTCTCGTGGTTCACCGACTCGGTCGCGCTGTGGCAGCGGCAAGACGAGACACCGTACCTGCTGGAGCCGGGCACCCCGCCGCAAGCGAGCGCTGCGAGTCCTCCTTCGGATGCTCACCAGATTTCTTCTGATGCTGAACCGGGCGCAGATGAATGGGGCGAGACGCCTGCGGGCGGGCTCGAGCTCGATGAGGTCGACTGGCAGGAGGTCAATGACGAGGTCGAGGCAGCGATGAACGAGAGTGACGAGGATGGCGCGAGCGAGCAGGGCGGGACGCGCAGTGGGAACGCGTCCGAGGACGAGGGCTCGTGGACGGAAGAATCGATGAGCGTCGTCAGGTACGTGGGCGAGGATACCTGGCGAACGAGGCTGGTTGCTGATCGCAGAAACCTCTACGTAGCAGTCCAACATCATCTCCTAAGGAGAAGCGAAAACGATTGCGGAGTCAGACGCCATCTGACAGCAGCGAGCAGAACGGGGCGCTTAGTGCTGATACTGATGAGCTTCGGTCGCAGCTTGCCAAGCGCAGAAAGATTGCTGCCGAGCGATCGGGCACATCGAAACTCAAGGAGGCTATCACAGCCGCTGATCTCGTTGGCGAGGATGCCGAGCAAAAAGACGCGGAAAACGAAGCTGCCGAGAGAGCGACGACACCGGACAACACGAACACGGACTCGTCGGATTCGTCTGATGACGAGAGCGATGATGAATCTGATGAGGCGATGGATGAGGAGGACTGGCTCGCCGGAGAGATGGAGGAGGAGATGGGATAGTCATTCGCATGCGTTCGTTATGGGTTCTTTCGTCCAATTTGGCGCTCTCTTTCTTGCTGCTGCTCTGGATTTGCTCGCTCCCCACTGCATTGCACACCCACGGAAGTATGTACGCTATGTGTAGCTGGCTGTTCATACAGGACTGCTTAGACTATCAGCATGTAGCGATTTAGTGTACCTTATGTATATTGGTATCTGCTTGCGGGCAGCTTAGAATCCTCCCCTCCTCTTCATCTGACAATGTTCTCACTCATCTAGACATGTCTTATCACGGATATCATGCCCAGCTCATGGCCTCCTACGACCTTCATTGTCCCAGGTCCACAGCTATCGATGCACACACGCATGCCATTCAAAGTTGCATCCAATGCTATCGCGCTCTCGTCTCCAAGTCCAGTTTATACAGCCTCCAGAGCTCGTCCACAGAACTGCCGGTCAGGTCTTTGAATATGCTCTCCTTGTACGGCACGTCCTTCATGCCCAGGTTGAGGTTGCGCACAGTTCCCCTACCGGACTGCTGCTCGATCCATTCGAGAAAGTACGCTGTCGACTCGTAGCCCGCGTCCCACTTTGTCCCACGACCCTCCTTCCAATGCGGCGGCGCCAAGCCTGCATGGAGACGCACCCAATCTGCGATCAGCCAACATTTGTCAGGTGATACATCCAGCACGAATGAGCAACCCAAGCACGTACCAGCGATACCCTCGATCAGCCCGCTGGGACAGGTTCCCTTGGCGTTGTACTGGTAGCAGTGGACCATCTCGTGCGTGAGCACGCCGCGGATCTCGTCTCGCACGCGGGTGGCATTATTCTGGACGTGCCCGGCGGAGAGGTGGATCTCTTTGTGCGTGTGCGAGCCCGTAGAATAGGCGACGCCGGGCATGGGGCGAAGGACAAGCAGGACGTTCTGGACGCTGTAGAGGAACGTGGTGATTGATTGTTTATTGTGATTGTAGAGGTTCATTGAAAAAGATGTCCTCACTTTGTCGGTGCATCCTGTAGGGTATATAGCCAGTTATTGACAGTCGCCACTGCATCCCTCAGCGCGTCCGCCGGACTGACGTTCTCGAGGAAAAGCCTCGAGCCTGGGTGAGAGACATCCTCGACGCGGAGGTCAAGATTTGGCATCAGCCAGGTAGTGCGAGTGATGGAGATGTAGACGGGTGCGTAAAGCCTGTCATGGCTATTGACGTTGTCGTTGTGGCGATCTGGACGAGGTGGAGTGAGTGGCCGCAGAGGGATCTGGGGTGGCGGGGGCATCGCGGAGGAATAGTTCATGGTAGAACTACGTTGTCGGGTATCACGCTGGGCTCATCGGACTGCAGGCACGCTCAGGATGATGGCGGGAGCAAAGCAGTGTCAACGACGACGGTTGCCATATCTGTTGGATGTATCTGTCGATCCATCTCCGATCGTCTCGGAGTTGCTAGTTGAATGCGGGGAAATAGACTAAGCACAGCGACCATGCCGAATAGAATAATACATGCATTACACGAATGGGTATATATGCAATCCTTGACATCTCCAGTCCGCATCGCGATATAACACCCAGCCTGTTCACGTTTGCTGTGGATGTTGAATACCAGCAGCGGCCTCCACCTTGAGAACCTCGGCCAACAGCGCATCTTTTCCTTCCTCCAGAAACCGGATGTACTCTCTCGCCTTGAACAAAATTCCGCTCTTCCCCTTTGTGCCTCTGCCCCGGGTCCCACTGCCCTTCGGCCGACCTCGCGTCGGCATCCCGCTCCCTGGAGGTGCTCCGGCCGGAGCCAGCAGCGTGGTGAGCTGCAGGTAGCCGTCCCGAATGGCATTGCGGCGTTTCTGCTCAGAGAGTATGTGGTTGAGCCTCTTTTGAGGTGTGGACAGCAGCGCTTTGGGTCGCGCTGTCGCCGATACAGACTCTGCGCGAAAAGCGGCTGTCTGCACAGGCGATATGGGTGAATCTGGTGGCACGGAGAATGGCTCGCCCTGCGGCATGCTGAGCATAGGAGGCGGCGGCGGCGGCGACGGATGAGAATTCATCGTCAGACTATGGGGAAGACCTGCCGGGGGCGCTAGCTGCTGTTCTGTTGGGGATGGCACCGTGGGTAGTCCGTCAGGATGGGGACTCGGAAAGGGGGCATTTTGTAAATCGTGATCAAGCTCCCAATTGAGATTCTCGAGAAAGCCAAAGAAATCGGTTGTCTCTGAGGGCGAAAAGAGGTCCGCAGAGGAAGGAAGGGGAGGAGGCAAAGGGAAGAGCGACTGGAAATTTGGACTGAAAAAGTGAGAGTCGTCAAAGGGGAGCGGGGATGGGACGTCGCTGTCCTGGTGGGCCATGGGAGAGTGTGACCGGAAACGGGGCAAGCCCGGACGCCGAGGCGAGGAGCGACCCCGGCTGACCCCGGCAGAACGCCCGGACCGGGCCGCGAAAGCGGCGCAGCGAAAAAGGGACATAAACGGCGTGCCCGCAGCAGGCGCTTGCGCTCCGAAGCCGCGCCCGCCCATCACCTCCATGTCGGCCCTCAGCGAGGCCTCCACGCCGGCCCAGGACACGGCCCCTCCGTCCATCGACACGGCCCACCTCCAGCAGCCCCCGCTGCCCCCAGACCTCCACGGCCAGCAGCAGCTACAGAATGGCGTCTCCACCCCAGGCAGCGAGGGCAACCGAAAGCGTGAGTGTCTCCACCGTCGCCGTACGTGCCGAGCCTCAGCGGTTCCGCCACAGCCAAAGCCCCGTCTGTGCGCCGGGCCTGCACTGCCTGCCATGCGGGCAAGACCAGATGCAGTGAGGTCCTCCCGTGCCAGGTGCGCGCCATGCTAATTTCTCGGTAGCTGATTCCTCTCTCTGACCCAGCCGGACATCAGAGCTGCCTAAAGAGGGGCCTCGGAGCGCAGTGTGCCTACCCTGACCCGGATACAGATGTTTCGCAGCAAACGCAAGCACCCCGTGAGCATATTGACCTCAATTCATCACGCGTTCGCTCGCTCATCGTTGCTGCAGCCCAAGTACCGTTCGCGCCGCCCATGTATCCTCCACCGCCAATGCACAACCTCGGCCATCCTCATTATTACGACTACAACACCTTTG